CTTCCTTGTTTTTGCCCTTCTCAGCTTAGTGCACTTGCAAAATCCCAGCCCAGAGAGGGAGCCAACATGAGCAGAACCCCTTCAAGATCACCCCGAGGCTGGTGAGTGTTTTCCCCCTGCTCTCCCAGCTGGAAGAACAGGCAAGGGTGGTTCAACAAATGTACCCAGCAGCACTGGAAAAACTGAGATCTCAGTAAAGCCAAAGGCATTTGCTAAGCATCTCCTATTAAGACAGATTATTCTCACACAAGCCACCCTGCAGGCAGCCAAGACAACGAGGTACTTTAGCAGTAAACCGCTCTTCTCTGCTCCCCAGCCCTCTTGAGTGACTGCAGTGCATCCCAGAGGAGCTCCGCTGCACCAGGGCCGAGGTCGCTGCTGCTCTCTGCTTTGATTCAACACACCCTCCCTCCCACATGCTGTTTTCATTAGAGCCTGCCTCTTCTGGCAAGGCCGCTGTGCACAGTCACGAGAAGCTGTTCAGTGGTGGCTTGTTTTATCCAGTTGCTGGAGGCTTGAAACAATGAGCTTGCAAATATTTCATTCCTGCCCTGAGAGTCTTTCTTTCTTTCATTCTTTTTCTTTTGTGAGGAGAGGGGGCAGGGAGGCAGACAGGGGTTACCCCTGGAGCTTGGGGTTAGGAAGGGTAGGAGAAAAGACACCAGGAGGGTATTTCTGTCCTGTTGTGAATGCACACGCATGTGAGCATGTGCATGCATGTCTCACACCTGCCCTCTCAGAGGACTCTCCCAGATGTCTGGCACCATTACAGACTGCACGTGTATGTTGCCCTGACTCAGGCAGGAAAGCTCAGAGCAGGACCCCTATCACCACCACCAGGATGATGCCACATGCTAAGGCCACTCAGCTGTCATAGTGTCACCAGGATAGAAACATCCCTCTGCACCTTCAGTCCGGCAGGCAGACACTTGGAGAGGAGGGAGATAGGAGTACAAAAGATGACACCCATTATGAGCCCAAACACTCTTTTCTTAGCCACCGAGGGAATTTTCTATTAGGAGCAGCTGCCATCAGGACATATTGATGCACTGAGCCCCAGGTGACATGTGAGTAAGGCTTGGTTTTGACTGGAGATGAACTGCAAGCCTGTTTCTGACAGGCACTGCTGACCCCATGTAGGCATGAGGGGTGCAGCAAATATGGAGTGGCAGCCAAGAGGTAGGAGGGTGTAAGTTACCCTGACACCATCAGGGCATCAAGAGGCAGAGGCCATTTCCACTTGGGTTGTCCCACAACAAGGACACATGGGTACAGACAGCTGAAAGCCACTGAGTTTTATAGTTTGAAGCAGACTCAAGGCAGAGCATGAAGGAGGTGAGAAATGAAGAACCAGTGAGCATGTTAGAAGAACCCCCTTTTCCTGGGCTGGGGCAGAGAAGTTGTGACCAAGGGGCTTCATATCCCTTCTCTAACTCACATTGCTTTCTTTAGCCTGGCTGCAGCATGCTGGGACAGTCTGGAGTCTTACTTGTCACTTCTTCATGCCTGCCTAAAACTCCTGGTGTAAGGGGCATCCAAGGAAGGACAGCAACATGGTGAGCACCAGCTAACCAGGGAGAAGAGACCTGTCTAATGCTGCTTGTACTCCCCTGAGCTTTTCAATTAGGCTGCCTGCCTGATTTGTATGGACTTCATGGTCCCATGGAATCCAAGGCTGCACGTTAATGCTGTGGGGTGGGAAAAGTTGCTGAAGTCCTGCACAGGGCATCCTTGGGCTGCACTCAGGCAGCCAGGGTCTGGCAAAAGCTGTGCAGAGCATGCATGTGTATGACCAGCAGTGCTCTGCACCCAGCTCAGGGTGCCCCTACTGCACCCCAGCCCCGCAGCCATCCCGCAGGTTCCCAGCCCCTTTATCTCAGGATGTACAAACCCAACTGCACCTCAGCTTGTCCGTCCACAGCAGAGCAGCGGCTCCGGGCTGTGCTGCAGGCAAGTAGACATCCCCTTCCTGCCCGTCCTGCTTCGGGTGCGCCTCAGTCCAAGGCCTCCATCACTTCGAGACACATCCCTGTAGGTGGAGCCAGAACCTCACAAGGCAGAAGGACAGCCCTGTCCTACCCATCGTCTTTCTCCGGCGGATAGACCAAACCTAGATCGCGCTGCACTGAAGAGGGACCGGTCCAGCCCCTCTCCAGAGGGATGCAGTAACTCAGCAGCAACATCCCTGCCATCCTTTCAGCCTGCAGGGAGGCACTGCCATTCCCATGTGTGCCCACATTCATCTGTGTGTGGTGTGCTGCACAGGGGTGCATGTGCAGAAGGCAAGCAGCATTCTGGAGCACCAGCCAAACTATCTAGCACTCTAGTGACTCCAACACCCAGGGACTGTTTGTCACTTGAGGTACCAATCCATCCTGCCCACAGCACTGCAGAGCCTGAACAAAAACATCTGGGAAGTGGGATGTGGGTACTCAGCAGGCAGCGATGCAGCATCAGCCAAGCTCCACGTAGACGAGTCACTCCCTTGAGCAGCAACAGGGCGAAGGCAGGCTTGGACTGGCAGGGAGGACATGTCTGGGGTGGTTTAACATGAGTGGTTGCAGCAGGGCAGGGGACAGGGACACTGTTTTGCTGAATAGGGTGCAGATGTGAGCACCAGTCACCCTAGCCCCAGGGTGGCTTTTGCCACCTCAGGTCTGCTCCACTCCTCTCACCCTGGGGAGGCTGGCTGGCTCCTGGTCTCTGCCCAATGATGCTCAGGAAAAGCCAGGTTCTGTCATGCTTTCTGTCCCTTGGGGACACTTCTGAGGGAGCCCAGCACTTTCTTCTCTTTCCTTCTCAGCCTGGGAAAGAGAAAAATTGAAGGAAGATGAAACTGCCCCATCCCCACCACCGTGACCCCACTTTCACTCCAGAGCTGCACGTTGTTTATAGCTTAGTTAAGAGAAAACGATGGGGGCAGAAAGGGGCAGACCCACCTCCAAGGTGCCCCCCTCCTTGCTGGGGTTTCCCCCTGGACTTGGGGCATGGTTTTGAAGCTACCTTTTACCTGCGCCCTGCAACCCAATAAGCTCATGGATCCCGTGGGCTTTAAAATTCATTAAATAAAGGTTGCTGAGGGTCTGACAATATTTGCAAGGGAGCCAGATACAAATAAGTGCCCTCAGCAAAGGCTTAGTGCCCCAACCTCAACCCCATCCAGGGTTTCCTGGCTGTCTGACAGCATGCCCACCCTTTTCTCCTGGAGCAGGAGGTAGAGAGAAGTGAGAAACTTTGCTGCTTTCCACAGTCCCCCAAGAAACACTCCCCGAGTAGCCCAGAGTCTGCAGAACAGGGACTGAAATCAGAACAAAATGCTGATTTGGGAACCTGGAGGTGGGGACTCAATAGGCATGGGGAGGTGTGATGGAGGCAAGGTTTCCTGGGATGAAGCCGGTGGCATGTGCCTTTCCTGATGGCCACACCAGAGCCACCAGCCTGGCCTGGAGACAGCAGCAAGCTGCAAAGAGGGAGACCCTAAAAAGCCTACTCTGTGAAAGCCAGTGAGGGGAAGTGGGTGGCAGATAAGAACATGTTGAGGAAAAACATAAACCAGAAGCTCATGAGGAATTTTGGAAAGGAAATGTGGAATTAACTCCAGAAAGGGGAGGGTGAGGGTGGGAATGCAGAACAGCTTATGGCTCACAACAAATAGTCTGTCCATGCCACCTTACCAGGCACTTACAGCCTCTCTGTCCAGCCCAGGGGACACCCAGCAGAGGCCACCCCAGTGAGGCAGGAGCACCAGGAACGTGCAGGCAGCTGGTGCCAGCTCCTATAGGGTTGATTCCAGCAGGAAACAGGGAAGAAACAAAACCAAGAGAAGCTGGCAGGAAAATACCATCCCTCTTGTGTCAGATAGGGAGAGGAGGCTATGGGTCCCATCTTGCCAGTGGGCACACAGAGGACAGCCAAGGCCAAGGCTGGCAGACGCCAGGTACCTCCCAAGGTCCTGTGGTGCAGCTGGCTCGGAGAGCACATCTCCATAGCTCCACATCTACTGGGGGGGGCAGAATCCATCCCATCTCCTCCCCCCCTTCCTTTTCACTCCTCTTGCCTTTGCCTCCCTGCACAAGCCCCACAGCATGGGGTCCCCATGCGAGCAGCCCCCTCAATCCACCCCTCATCCTGCAGCTATTTTAGAGAAAGGCAGGAGGTATTTTTAGTGCTGCCGGCTCCTGGGAGAAGCTCTGAGCCTCTGAGCCGCAGTAGTGCTGGCGCCAAGGAAACTGCCGCTGCTCTGGCTGATATTTCTTGTATAATTAAACTCAATCCATCCCAGGGGCTGGGTCTTGGCCACCAACTCAGCGAGGAGGGGAAGGAGTGGAGCCAGAGAGCCAGGGGCTAAGGGCTGCGACAGATGCTGGGAATCGTTTTGCGAACACTGGAAACACCAGGCGTTTGAGGCTTTGGGGAAAGTTTTGCCAAGCACAGGGAGCAAGATGGCTCCAAAAGGGGCAGGGAAGTGGGAATTAATGGGAGCAGAGCCCAAAGCAACACCTTGGCAAAGGACTCCATACCAGCACCATCCCATCCCACTCCCCTGTGGGAGATGGCCTCAAAGGGGATGTCCACAGCTGGAGAGATGGCACCTAAGGGCAACCTGGGAGAAAGCAACAAGATCTGAAGGCACCCAGTGCCTGCAGGGCACGCTGGAGAGATCCCTCCTGGTAAACAAAAGCCCAGGCTGGAGCTGGAGCCATGTAGGAAGTCTGGGGGCTGTCTGGTTAGCCAGCATCTGGTGAACACAAGCTGCGGCTGGAGGCTGACAAGCAGCAGCACAACCCCTCCTTCTTCCCACGCCCACCACCCGGTGTCCGTCTGGGGGCCCCAATCTGCCATCGAGGAACAGGGAACAACAGCCCAGAGAAAACACAGCACCCGCCGGGGTTCAGGGTTGGTTTGTGGCTGGGTTTGGTTTCCCCCATGCAAAGGAACAGAGCATTTATTCCTGGGTCCCTTCAATTCATGATACATTTCCAGCGACCCAGACACCAAGCTGGCTTTCCAAGCAACAGTGTATTTTATGTAACTGATTTCTTTTTTTGTTGTTTTTACTTTATAAAGCCATACAATGAACTGCAAAGAATCTGACATCTGTACAATGGGAAGACAACAGCGGAGTCACATTCACACACGGACAGGGTGCGACCGAAGTCATCCTTACACGCGCGACAACATTATGGGCACAAAGATACAAATATAACGTGGGGTTTTTTTCTTTCCATCTATAAATACACAGAAATGGGCAAGTCTAAAAGTTTGAAACTGTTCATTAACACTGATTAGCAAATAAATCTGTAACGTTCCCAAAGTAACGAAGACAACAACAAAAAAAAAAACCACAAATAACACGGCGGTACAGGAACTGCCAACAGAAACGTGGGGTTGCTTCCTTTTTTTTCTTTTTATTTTTTTTCCTTTTTAAGGAAAATAAAAAATAATAATTAAAAAAAAAAAAAAAAGAGTAACCCCAAACCAACCTCGCAATTTGCAAAACAAACGAACGAAATGAAACAAGCCCCTGCGGGCTCCTTTGCTGTCTGATCCTCCTGCCTGCTCCAACGGGAAAGGCTGCCTTTTGTTGATGCTGCTGTCTGGGGTTTTGGGGCAACTGGTTTCTTTACCTGCCTGACCTGCTGGGTGGGGATTTACTTTGCACTTCAGTTCAGGCAGTTGAACTCACTGGAAAATTGATGCCTGGAGGCTGCGTTGGGTTTTTCTCCCTACCTGGTTTGTTTTCCATGTGTGGTTTGACCAGGGGGCAGCCAGCTAACGTTGCATCCACAGCAACCCCAAACTTTGCTCAATTTATGTGCTTAAACCCATAAGCCCACAATCTCCACTGGCAATGATGACATGGATCAACCCTCAGAATATCTCCCAGAAGGGAGCCCAAGGCAGCGCCACTGAATGGGAAACCCACATGCTGAAAAGGAAGCCCACATTTTGCACGTTGTGGGCACTACAATCTGGGACAGGTAGCAAATGACACACCCCACCCCCCAAGAGCATTTCCCAACAAACAGTAACATCGACAGCAAAGGAAGGATGGATGAGAAGGGGCTTCTCCAAAGAACCAACACAAAAAGGGCACATACAACAAATTTACACACGCAAAAAAAAAAAATAAAATATATATGTGGGGAAAAGTGCGTTTTTAAGGGTATCTTTGGCAAGAATATATGCAGTTCTTTGTGCAGGAAGGAGGGATATGTTTGTGTGTGTGAGCGAGAGAGATACCATCCGGCTGCTGACAACGGCAGTGTGATTACAATGAAACATATGCTGGGCTTAACTCGCACAAGCTTGAATCTCAAATACCATGACTGCATTTAAAAACCAAAGAAAAACACAATCGTTTCTGTCCCTTTCATAAGGAAAAAAATATCAACACTAGATCCCTGCCAGCCCTGGGACCTGGGTGATCCTCAATGCCAGCTGACGGACTCTCCCTGGGACAGAAAGAGTACTTACACCTAGAACTGTAACTTAAAAAAGGATATAAAGGGGGGAAAAAAAAGTGCCTTTAAAAGGAGCTGACAAACACCCGGCTACGCCATTGGAAGGTGATTAGCTGTGTGCTAAAAAAAAAAACAATAGAAACGGACAATTTTGTTAGTGTTCGAGATTTGGATATGGTCTAAGTCTTCAACTAGTGGGTTAGTGGGGAAGCCGTGAGCGGCTCAGGGCCCGAAGCAGGCGTGATGCCATTGGCAGGTATCTGCTGGGGTCAGCTTTTACGTGACATCTCTAGGGTGCTTAGATCTGCTTTGTTTTTACGGGGAGAAAAAGAGGAATGGGAGTTTCAAGCACCGTTTTCCGAGGCAGCAGATTAAAATAAAATTACATTATTATCATCTCTTTTCTTAGCAGTGAGAAAACCGAGTCTGAAAAATAGAGGCTTCCAAAAAATATATCTTTATATATCTAAAAACACAGTGTTTTCTCTAATCGGTGAATGGCAGGGTGAGGAGATTACGGGTGAGATCATCTCTTATCTCGCTTGAATTTCACAGAAGGAGGGAAACATTGAAAATGAAAAGGCCTCCACATCCATGCGGCCAGGGAGCTGGGAAGGTGGAAAGCCTCCCCGGGACCCCCCATCCCGCCACTGTCTCGCAACCAACTCCTCACTACGCATCCTCTCAGGTTCACTCCAGTACATCTGAACAGCTTCCGTCTGGGCACCCGCGCCACTCATTCCCCCACGCACACACACACATGCACACGTACATGCACACTGGTCACACACACGTCGCCCCGATTCGGGAGGGGGGCCCCGCGCCTCTTCCCCCATCCGTATTTTGCCTTGCTCTGGACTTTCTTTAAACGTGCAAGTGTTTCCCCGGGGCAGGGGAAGGGGGCGGATATAATGGGGGACATATGATGCGCAGAAAGCAATATGGCAAAAATAAATATTTTTGGAGTGTGAATTTAACCTTTTTTTCCTCCTTAAAATTTCATTAGCTTACAGCATGGCATCAGTATAGCTCGCATATATATTATAGCTATCAAGGCAAGGGTGTTCCAAAGGAGAAAAACTCTCCAGTGGGGAGGGGCTGCAGTGCTGTTTCTAGTTTTTGGCCCCAGTAGACTACCTGGGCCACTTTGCACTGAAAACTTCTCCAAAAAAGCTCTTGGAGGAAGGGGGAGGAGAGGGGGATATTTGCAGAAGAGGCTCAGCAATGACCCCGCAGCTCCAGCCAGAACATGCCTGTGGCCCCAAATCTGCACATGCAACTGAAGCATCCTCTGCCCCCTCCCCAGCTCCACAGGCGGGGACCTCTGCCTACTGCCCCCAACCATGTTTCCCCCCTCCACAGCAGCACAGGAGCCCTTCACCCCTCTTGCTCCCTGACTGACACTCCTCACCTCCCAAAGAAAAGGGAAAAGCTGACAACACTGAAGCCGCTGCAAAACTACAGTGCACTCAGGGGCATGAGCCTCCAGCCAGACAGTTTTGAAGGTACATGCATGCCAAGCAGGGTGGCTCTCGGAGGACCTGTTACCTCCCCACTGAGCCAAAGTTACCCAGCAACCGCGGGTCCTTTCCTTTTTTTTTTTTGCAATTTTCTTCCTTCTTTTTCTTTTTTTTTAACGTGGCCTCCGAAATAAAAGGAGAAAAAAGCGCCTGAATTACTTGCAGTCATTCGCCTTTCGTGCAACTTGAACGTCCATGCAATTTAAAAACCGCTTGCATGTCTCCAAAGAGATAGGGGTAGCCACGGGTCAGCTGCTTTGCACAGGGAACCCACCTGTGCCAGCATACGCTATTATTATAATTATTATTATTATTACACTGTTTTTCTTTCCTTTCTCTTTTGTTTTGTTTGGGTTTTGTGTTAACGTGCGACAGGCCGCAGGAGAAAACCGCCAAAGAGGACTAGTGATGGGAGAGGATTAGTGTATCCTCTGTGGAGGCTCCGGGGGAGCATCTGCCTTCCCGACGCACGGGGCAGCAGGAGCCCCCACACACCCCCTCAGACGTGGCAGGCACGAGCACTCTGGGGAGGTGGGGAAGTGCCGTGACCCGCTCTCCGTGCGGGCTCACAGCAGCTCACCTGCGACCAGCGCTGGGTTCTGGGTCAGCAATGGAGGTCAGCCCATCGCTGAGCTCCCCAGAGACAGGACGGATCAGGACCAACCCCCCCACACACACCCCCAGCAACTTGCCAGGCTACCAGCAGGTTTCAGGAGAACCAAATGGATAAGTGAGGACCCTCCACTGCAGCCGGGCAAGGGAAGGTTTCCGAGAGCATCTCCTCCAGTGTCCCGCAGACCCAGCCATGTTGTTATATCCTACGGGTCATTTCAAACACAAAGCAGACGTTCGCTGATGGAGCTGCTGGGATGAAGCATGGGCTTTGCTGGTTGTCTTTTTTTTTTTTGCCCAGATGGAAAACAACCAGTCATGGTCTTGCATTTGGTCTCAAGTGGATGTCAGGACCATTATGCCGAAAGCCTTCGCTTTGGTCACCTTCCCTGCGGTGGGACATGCATCCTGTCTGGCGTGACTTTGTGGCTCTCTTACATAGGTGCGTGATTTTGGTTGCTCTGTGTGTGTGTTTGGCTTGTGTTGAGTTTTTAGGGGTTCCATTGGCTTTTAGGATTTTTGTTGTTTGCTGTTTTCCTCCAGAATTCCAACCCTTTTTTTTCCCCCAATTCACTTCCCTCTCCCACAATGCACTTCCTCACACTCCTTCTCGGATCAGCTCCAAGTCCTTCTCCAAAATTCAAGAATCACCCGCAAGCACCAGCTCATCTTTTCTGGCTGGAGCCAAGCATGACCCTGGAGACAAAGTTGACAATGGCTGCAGCTGGCTGGTCTGGGTCCAGCTCGGCAAAGAGATGGCAGATGTTGTCTGTGGTGCTCCCTTGCTTCCTGGCCACAAAGCCAAAGAGCCTGGGTGTGAAGAAGACAAGTGGCTCAGTGAGGTTTGCCAACATTGCTCACCCAATGACCACCACCACCCTCTTCCAGCATGGTCTTGTCCACCTCTTTAACACCCACCTCACACAACACAAAGGGAGACATCCCAAAGCAGACTGCATGAAGACCCATCTATTCTTCCCTTTGTTGTAGTTTCCTTGAAGGCCAGCACTGTGTTTCTATCAATTCTTGGCCAAACCCCCCTTGCTCTGCTCATCCCTGCCACCGTCCCCATAGGCCATCCCCAAGAAGGAGGATCACAGCATTGCCTTGGTTTGTGTGATGACTCCTGAAACCACAGGGGTGTGACAGGCTGTCCACTGGGGCAGACCCGGTGTGAGAGGAAGGCCATATGGGGACAAGGGGAGCTGGGTGAGACCATGTGGTTATTTCCATCTCTGTCCCCCAGTGAATAAAATGTCCCCTTTTTATTTTAATTAGAACGTGCAAACTCAAGTTATAAATACAGGGGAACAGAATGTGAAACAGGCCCAGGCCGTGGCATTTCTAATTGGAGAGGGGAAATATCCCAGCAGCTGGACCTCCTAATAAAAACCCCTTCGCTAACACAATGGCTAAAATTAGTGGGAATTTGCCCCTGGAAATGGGATCAGCCAGCAGCTCTGTACTCCTGTGGGTCAGAACAAGGAGGACAGGAGGAAAGGAGGAAAGGAAAGACCTGGCTGGTGGCTCACAGGCCATCAGCATAACCTCTGGCTCTGCTCCACAAGCTAGCTCCCGCAGGCTCCTCTGGCAGTTTCCAGTTTGCTCTGTTCAGGAGGAGCCATGCCTGCTCTAACTGGGAATTTGGGGATGAAAGATGCTTCCCGAGTCCTCATTCTTGGGTGAAACATTCCTTCAGCGAGGAGCAGAGCTCATTTGACAGATAGCCAAGAGGCTGCCCTGCATGGTGCATCACCCAGCCAATGCTCAAACACAAGTTGGAGCCACCCTGACACCCTGGGAGGAATCGGCTGGGAAACACAGCAGATACTTACTTGGCTGGGCCGCTGCCATCAGTTTTAGTCCACCTGCAAGGAGAAGAGGAGGTGTGAGGGATGGTGCATCCTGCCCCCCACAGAAACAGGGCCATTATAGGGGCCACCACACCAGTGCTGGAGGGCCAGCCTGGCTTTGCACAGGCTTGGCTCTGTCAAAAAAAAACCTGTTGCAGCTCTCTCCCAACATGAAGATGCTTAGAGACACCAAGAAGTCACCAGAAGTGGTGTTGCCCCACAGTATCCAAGGGGACCATCAATCCCTGCTCTCCACAGAAGCAAATGGGACAGAGCAAGCAAAGATCCTGCTTCAAGCAGCCAGGAGCCTGGGGGAAGGAAAGGGACAGGGGACATGTGCTTGCCGCAGGTTAGGGCACTCACTTTCGTTCCTGGGGGTCCAGGTTGCAGAATGTGACGGTGTTGAGGGGGTAGTGTCGTCGGAAGAACAACCTGAAACACAAGGCAGGGAGTGTCAGGGCCAGCGAGCCCCCACCTCTGCCCCACCACAGCCCAGCCCCATCAGAGGGACACTCCCATAGGTTTCCCTAGGATGTTTCAGGAGTCAAGGACAAAGCCCAGCCCTGCCCATGTCCAGGTTCATGCCACCCAAGGACATCCTTCATCAGCACACTCCCTGGATCACAGTCCCATTGGCTCTGGAGACCCAGGGCCGTGGCCATGGGGACTCTTACTTCCTCTGGTTGTCAGTTAAGGTGATGCCTTGTGCGGAGACTTTGAAGTGGACGATGGTAGCGGTGGGTGTGGGGTCAGCCACCAGCGTCTCAGCTACAGCCTTTGCAATAGCCTGGGGGCCTGTCAGTGACTCCATCTCCACTGAGTTGATGAAGAGGACATTGCAGGCTGGAAAGGGAGACAGCAGGCATGGGGTCAACCACTGCTCCAAGCTACATTGGCTCCCATGACATCCCCTCTCTACTCACCTGCGCCCTGTTTGAGGAGGTCTGTGGGTGAGTTGGTGGCTGATGTGGTGTCTTTCTTTTCCTCCATGGGATCTAGAAGACATGGGATAGTTACTGCTGCTCCCTGCTTGGAAACCTACCCCATCCTCATAGGCTGTGGGGGCAGACGTAATCCCTTCTGGCCTTGGCTCTTACCTCGGTCAGGAATGACCAGCTTGCAGGGCAAGGCCAAGGGCATGATGGAGTGCTGGTACACCAGAGCTGAGAGACAGCCTGGGGAGAGAGGGGAGATGATAAGCATGGGGCTGGGAACACGGGTTTCCCTGGTGTTAGGACATTGTTGCTCCAGATGGATGGGAGTAGACTTTTTTGCTGGATTTCTTCACTGTCGTCCTAACACCACACATGGCAATTCCTCTTACTGAAACCATCACGCCCACGGAGGGCTCAGGGAGGTAGCAGATATGCCAGGGCCATGTTAGGAACAGGAATGGGGCAGAGGTCCTAGGGCAGCGCCTTGGAGCACATTAGCCATGGGATAAATGAAACAAGATGAGGAGTCCCTGCCCTCCACCCTGTCCAGCAGTATCATTTTTCCCAACACATGCAGAAAGGTATGTATCCATGCATACAGGCACATTTGTGTGCACTCATTTGTATGCATGATCCCTGAGGCTCCAAATGCCCACAGGGCTTGGTTACACAGGGACAAGTAATGCAGTGGGGGCTCTCCCAGACACCTCACAGCTCTGCTTTGATAGTCCAGCAAAGGCAAGCCTCTCCCAACCCAACCCCGCATGTAGTAGCACACTAGGGGCACTCACCAAAATTGGGCTCGTTGGGGCATCCTTTTAGTTTCACACCCCGCGGGCTGGTCTCGATGAGGAAATGTCTCACCAGCTCATTGGTGATGTCTCCTGGGAAGAGACAGAATGCTCTCACACCACAGCCACTCTTTGTCAACTAATACTGTGTAGCCCCACACAGAAACCAGTGTTCCAGCTCAAGGGAGGGGTCCCTACCACTCAGCACACCCTCCTCAAATCCAGCCCTTTGCATAGCGTCAACCCCAAGCCAGGCTCCCTTATGGTGCTGGTGGGCTGGGGAGGATGAGCCCATTTCACTATAGCAAGCCCAAGATTCAGATGCCCCAAGCCCTCCACAGCTCAGGGTAGAAGGTGCCTGGTGCTTCCCTGTGCCCTGGGAGGGAAGGGCTTGGAGGAGGGATCCTGCGACATCAGCACATATTCAAGGGCACAGCTGGCTCAGCAGACACAGCTGCCCTCTCGCCCTGGCCAAACGATGGAAAGCATCTCAGCGTGGGATGGAGAAGGGAACACAATACCTTTCTTGTTCTGCTGCATGACCGTGGGAGGTGGAGAAGCTACTTTCATGGCAAGGCCGTAGGCTCCCCGGAAGGAGTGGCTGTCTCGGATGATGAAAGCCCCTGGCTCCCTGTCCTTCAGCAATGCAATGGCTGCAGGTGAGAACAGCAGACCTCAGAGCCAGCATAGTGAGAGCCAATATGACCTCCAAAACCAGTAGGCGTGGGTCAGGACAGGGCATCCTGGCCCCATGGCCTTGCAGTAAGACACTGCAATGTTATTGTCCCCTCTGCACATCTGTGGATGGGGGTCTCAAATGGGTTTGTGGCCAGGCAGGGGCTCAGGTACCCTCAGGTCCACTGCCTTTGTGTGCGCATCCATTCCCACCCAGCCCAGCTCTGAGCAACTGAGCACTAGAGAGCAGGCAGGGACCAGGGATCAAATGCTGGAACCACGTCCCTGAAGATACCTTACCTCCTCCTTGTTCTCCCCTCCTGTTTTAGCCATATCTCCAAGACCCCTCTGAGCTCACTCAGTTCAAGAGCTGAGTGCTCTGCACCCCAAACTGCATAGATCCACTGCATGCTGCAGGGACCAGTGTTCCTCCACCAAGGGGAAGGCTGGGGTGAAAGCCTGAAGCTGAGCTGGACTTCAACCCCCCTCTGCAGCAGTCTGAGCATCCACAGTACACCCTCATTCCTCATCCAACCCCTAAGGGAAATCTTTACTAATCTCTGTGATCCCAGATACACCCCAACTCCTGACCATGGCTCACTCAAACATATGCTTTGCCCTGTGCCATCTACCCACCCTGCTCCCTGGAGATCTCCGGTTTGTACCAGTACTTGGAAGTGTCCTGCACAAACTTGACATTGGCACGAGTCTCAGGGCTGATGTCTGTAAGGAAGGGAAGACGAGAAAAAAGTTAAAAGATGCTTATCTAAAACTCCACATGACTTTTTTAGCAGATCTAGCTAAAGCATTAATAGGTCTACCTCCTTTCAGCCCCAGAACATTGGTTTAACCTCAACCCAGTCCTCCACACCCAGAAAGGCTGACCATCACCTGGAACTTATGGAGACTGCTGCACATCTAAAGCTAAATCCAAGCACAAGAGCCCTTGAAGGGATGTGCATGTGATGAGTTTCTTTGCCACACAGACAGAAACAAAATAGGAATTCATCATTTTAAAGGGAGCTGGCCAGGTGAAATGAAAGCTGTTGGGGGAGACTATGTCCAACCAGAGGGTGGTGGGAAGATCTGACTTCAGAGGACCTTCACTGCTCTCTAATGTTCAAGATTCGGCTCATCCACCCTAAAAATAAATCCTTCCCTGACCTTTGCTCTGTGCAGAGGAACTGGACATGTTGACCTACCCTGGGGAAAGCAGCCCCAGCCCTACCCTGCTTCACTCAGTGCCCATCAACAGCTCAGCCCTGACGGGAGCCAGTCCTCTGGCCCTGAAGCTGTTGCTTTGCTGGGGCAACATTTCCAACCACCTGCTTGCCAAAAAGCCCAAGCAAAGAACTCAGAGGGCCAGACAGTATCTCTGCTGAAGACGTGTTATCAGCCCTCTGCAAGCTGGTCACCTTCAGAGGGAGGGGGGCTCACTCCCCTCCCCAGCCCACTCTCTAATGGTTACAGGTTTTAATTGCTCATGCTTCCCCATTGGGAAAGGTCCCCAGCCACGGGGAGTCATGGGGCTGGGGTGGGCGCCAGCGTGCTCACAAAGGGCTGCCTGCTCGGCAGTGAAAGCGGCCCGGCCACCGGAGCCACTGCTGCCCCACAGCTTTATTCCCCTGATTCTATCAGTCCGATCTTGGCGTCACCAAGGTGTCCTGTAACAGAGCCAGCAAAGGCGTTCTAGGCGCAGTGGCACCCAGGGCACAGCACACCATTTGAAATAAGGAGGCAGAGACACAGTGGGGTCTCAGCAGGGTAAAGCCTGGTGGGAACAGGTCCAAGAGGTCAACGCATCCCCACGGCAGAGAAAAGCTGCCTCTGGGTGCTTTGATCTCCCTGTACACAACTCTGGGCGCTGCTTATGGCAGCGATGTCAGGTCTGTGCTCTTCCTGTTTGGATTTGCCAGAAAGCACAGGAAATGGCCCAAGCCGGTGCCTCCGGTGTGCGGATGGGCAGGAGGGGTAAATCAGGAATCAGCTGCAACCACTTCCCCACTGGCTGGTGAGGAGGAGGAGGGAAGAGAGCCCTCGGCAGGGCAGGGGGATGCAGGAACCTCCAAAGGCATCCCTTACCTGGCATGGAGAGCTTGGAGAAGTCCGGCAGGGTGTGGAAGGTGACAGCACTCCCACTGCTGGGGCTGGACATGCCACTGGAGAGGGGTGAGGACGCCTTGCCGTTGACAGTGGCGTAGTTGGGGAGGCTGTTGGAGCGGTCCCCAGCCGACATCCGCCTCTTCTCCGGCAGCGCGGGCTGTGGTGTGGGGCTGCCCTGGTGGTACGCGGCCGAGTCCGGGGAGGAAGAGTGCGGTGTGCTCGTGCCAGGGTAGTACGCCGGTGAGACGGGGAAGGATGGCGTGGAGGGAGGCTGGTAGCCAGAGGAGCTGCTCTGCCGGGACAGTGTTGGGCGCCTCTCATCTGGGCTGGGGTAGCCATACAAGGGGCTGCCAGGGGGGACAGCTGCGGTTTGATGCCTGGCCAGGCTGGGGCTCCCCGGTGAGGCCACCAGGTTGCCATGGGCTGCCACAGCATGTCTGCCCAGCCCGGGGCTGCCAGGAGCACCGCTCATGCCAGGATTGACAGCTCTTCGCCCGAAGCCGGGACTGGGTGGCGTGTTGGTAGCCACTGTCCGGTGCAGGGAGCGAGGGCTCCCTGGCAGGACGTGAACTCCTACCACATTGACCTGTGGTTGCGGACGAGCTTGGGGGTCTGGCTGGAGGGCAGCTCGGCTATCGGGGTAGTCAGGGCTGGAGTACGACGAGCCCAGGCCCCCACCTTGGACCGTTGCAAGGGAAGACGGAGATGAGTTTTGGTAGCTGCTGTGAGCAGAAGGCATCTGCGAGCTGACAGGTGACCGGTAAACAGGCTCGATCGATGCATGAGGAGGTGTAACCGTGCCATGGGGGCTGCCATCTGAGGGGTAGCTGTGGAGGGAGGTCCTGGGGAGAGATGAGAAGGAGGATTCAGTTCCACTGGTCATTAATGCTGCTGGCTGGCACCCTCCTGTGAGTGGTGCACAAGGAAACTGAGGCACTTTGATAGTGAGCTGCTCAGCTGTTCAGAGGCAATGGTAGGATGCACCCTGTCAGCTGCACAGAAGCAGCTAGAAACAGCTTTAGTTCCACCATGCATCTCATTTCCCTCTCAAAACACAACTCTCCGGGAGACAGAGCCTTTTTCCAGCTCCTCTAAGAAAACACTCAAATAGTTTCTCCCTGCCAGCCTTGCCAGGCTAGGCTGATGCAGTACACCTCACGGGCAGGGTGGAGAAGGGACAGGGATGGTGGCTCCATCACACCAAAGGGGACTGATGCTCAGCCTAACTCAGTGCGAGGGTTAGCAAAGACCTCATCTCTTCTCCCACCCCAGGGGCCAGGTTCCCATCAAGATGCTGCTGAGATCTATTGACCAGCAAGTGATAACCAAGTGACCCAACTTTGTGTTGCCAGGGCACTGAATCAATGGCTGACCAGGACCCCTAAACCTTACATGCAGAGACAGGGGCTCTTGCAAAGGCAATTTCAGTGTGGGAGCAATCCTGTGCACCCGGCAGAGTTTGACCCCAGCCCCACAAGCCCCAAGGACCTGCTCCCAGTGCCTTACCCGTCCACACTGTGAATGGGGCTGCTGGTGGAGACAGGGCTGGGGGCAGTGAAGGAGTTGTTGAAGGTGCCGTTCCTGGTGGGCATCTCTGGGCCCACGGGCTGGGTGGTGGGCAGGCTCCCTCCCCTGCCTGTCGTGGCTGTGCGGGCCACAGACTCAACGTAGCTCCTGGGCTCTGTGGCAAAAGAGAAGAGCAAACAGATGAGCACACAGCTCTCTTTGGGAGAGGCCCATGCCCTTCCCGGTATCCCCATTTCAGCCAGTGAAGCTGCTTGAACTGAGCTGCTCCAGCTCCACATTTCCTCCATCCCTCTTCCCGCAGGGGCTATGCAGAAACACATGGTTCATCTGGGCCTTTAGGTTGCTCCAAGGGGTGCTTGAAGATCCCAGCCTGGGCACAGGGAGGGGGGTCATGCCCACCCCTTTTCCTGAGGGGACCAGAGCACATGAGACCACAGTTCCTTCCAGTGCCACAGCCCCTCCACGCTGCTCTTGAGTCAGTGCCCCTCCTTGCCTGGGATGCCACACAGCATACGTTGTGCTCCCTGCTCATCTTCAGCCCCCAAAAATAGAGCCAGTGACACTGCCCAGCCTGCGCTGAGTCACACGGGACTGATGATGATGACCTGTCATCCCTGCCCTGTGCAGCCCACCTCTGCTAGCCACCTCCAGCAGCAGACCAGAGAGCAGCTCCAGATATTTCCACTGCAGCATCCAACACAGTCACTCCCAGCCCAGCTTGAAACCGGAGCCCACAAGCATGACCAAGAACAGCAATTTTCCTTTGGAGCTGCCAAGCTGTCCCGTGCCAGGAGCAGTGGGCTATGCCGGCCGTCACCAGCCACAACAGCCGCCAGACCCAGCCTTCCCTCCTCCCTTTCCCTCTGCCTCCTGCTCCATCCAGGCTGGTCCCCATCCTTACAACAGCCCTGCAGCCCCACCAAAAGCTGTGCTGGAGGAAGGGACTGCAGCTTCAGCCCTGTCCCCTACAGCTGTGTAACACCTCAGCTGGTATGTGCCACCCACTGCCTCTGAGCTGGGGCACAATGTCCTAAGCAAGACCCACTGGCATCAAACACTATGGGCTGGGCATCCTTGCAGGTACCCTGGCTCCAGGCTGGCCATGCTTGAGGCAGTTCTGCTGTAGTAATTAGCATGACAAACATTACTGTTATTATCATTATCATTATTATTAATATTATTAGTCATAACAGCCAGGCTCTGGCTAAGTCTGCCAGCAAGCCAGCCTGCTCACAGTCAGCAATGCCAATGCACAGCTCCATGTTCAATGCCAGACTGGGGGGCTGCAAGGAAAAAGACAGTCACAGGTCTCCCTCCTTCCCCCGCAGCATCTCTGTGCCGTATCCACCTGCAGAAAGAGGAGGATGAGTCCATCCTTTGGGCTGATCTCCCTGCCCAGCCCTGCTCAACCACCCCAGAAAAGATTGGAGCCAAAAACCAGACCAAGGACCTCAACATGGGCTGGGTACCAGCATCAAAGGCAGCATGTGTAGCTCTGAGTGACAGGGATGAAGCACTGCCCAGGAGGATGCCCAGGGCAGCTGCGAGAAACTCATTGCTGCTTGGGTAATTAAACTAATTTCACAGCTACTCACTTTTCTCCCCTAGCTGCCCACCCCAGACTAAAATTAGCCAGAGAGCACGTATGAGTCAGCCTGCAAGAGGTTAAGACGAAAGGACTGCAAAAATACCAGCCCCTCCTGCAAAGGTGGGGGCTGAAGCAAGGCAGGAGATGAGGGCTGAGGGAGGGGGGACAGCATACGTGTGCCACAGTGAGGCATGTAACCATGAGCATGGGTTGAAGTCGATTGGTTCAATATGGAGAAAAAAAAACGAGGAAGTTTCAAGGCAGGATTTTTTTAGGCTGAAGAATGTGATCTTGCCTCCTGGTGGTTTCTTGGAAGAGCCTCCGGAGACGGGAAGACGGTGGGAAAATAGAGAGGCTGTGAGTCACCAGGGAGGTGGGTAGTGGTTTGAGAATGCTGAATCCAAGCTGGGCTGCCACTCGGGCCAGGAATCACCAGTGCTGCAACTGCGCAGGGCAGTTGTAAAGCCTCCTCGGAGGTGGCAGCCAGACCCCAAGCTTCTGCACTGCCAGAGCATCCTCCAGCCCCAAGCACAGCCCAGCAATGCAGGCTGGGATCTGCTGAGCAGGGCCTGGCAGGGCAGGGATCCTCTGGGCTCTGTGCCTGGGTGCAGAGGGTGCTAAGTCAAAGCTTTGTTAAGACAAAACGCAGGTCCCCCCTCAGGACTGCAGATTTAACGCCCCCAAAGCGATCATATTATTAGAGGATGAAGCAAAGCAAGAGGCTGGTAGTGGCCACTCAGCTTTGGCAGTGTGGGGTCACTGGACATTTTTGCTCTGGATCCACCACCATGCAAGCAGCTGAGTGCCACAGGAGCAGCAAAGCAATGCAGCCTGAGCTCCTAAGGGTTTGGTGAGTAGGAGAGGCGATATTTGGGTGTTTGGAGGCTTAAAGCTGGATAAAAATGGTAAATCTGGGGGGGACCTAGGAGGGAAATGCCTGGTTTTATCACAGCTTTTCATCCTTCAATGCACCCAAAAAGCCATCGCTGAAAAATCAGCTCTGGAAGCAGAACATTTTCTTCAAATAAACACTTCCTTAAATATTATACAACATAAAGGTTTGGGTTATGTGCACCGAGGAACTCCCAAGCAGAAATGCTGACAGCTCCCTGAGCCACGAGAAGCATCACAAACTTGCCAAAAAGAGACATCCCCTCCCCAAAGCCCATATTAAACATACAGTTCCCCATTCTGGCCTCAAGGGCCCGAAGTTTCATTAAAAAAGAAATCAAAACCCAACTGTTAGATTGCACGTGGCACTCCAGGGAATCACACCCGCTCCCAAAGCCTCTGTCCCCTCCAGGAGACCTAGAGCCACCCCAGAGCACATGTTGTCTCCTCCATCAGCACAGCCACTCCTGAGCTGACATCCCACATCAGCTTCATCCTTGGCATCCAGAGGGAGGCGCAGCCCCGGGACAGGCGAGGTGGGGGGGATCTGGACAGCTTCCCGGCTGAAGGAGTATATGCACCGACTGCCGGCGCTGTGTCGCTGCCCGGCTACTGAGCCGGCAGCACGCTGGTGGCCTCTGAGCCTGCTGACCTTTTGTGCTGCACTTGGGTTTATTTTCGCTCCGAACAGCAGCAGCAAAGCCAGAAGGGGAGAGCAGGAGCCCAAAACCGGGGTTGGTGCTCCCAGCCCCTGCCAGGCTCATCCGAGACTGGCCACAACATGCCAGCATCCCCAGCATGCCACCAAGGATGCCCTACACCGACAAAGAGCTCTCAGCCCACATGGATGATTGCCACCCAACATGACAGACCGCCAGGTCCAATTTGGACATCAGAGAATCCAACCACGACACAAGACATGATGTTCCCCTTTTCAAAAGGAAGCAGATGGACAAGACTCAAGCTCCCACATCCCCAAGGAACAGTGCAGGGAAGGCTGCTGGCACAGATAGCCAGAGCCTGCTCTGAGCAACAGTCCCAACAGTGAGGTAAGAGAAGAAAAGAGAAAGAAAAGCCTTTCTTACCTTCTCCAGAGTCACCGCCCACCTCCCCTTCTACCTCTGGGAGATGGAGGGGCAGGGGAGCAATGGGAGTGGGAAGAGGAGGATGAAGGAAGGTATGAGACAGAAAGAGAAATCAGAGTTAAACAGCTTTGCCTTGCTCAGGCAGGGGCACACAGAACACAAAGGAGAGTTCCACACCTCCCCAGTACTGCACCTCAAACTGGACCCCTGGTCTCAGACACCCCCAGGGTCCACCTGGGAATTCCAAAGACAATGTCCATAATCTAGAAGGCTGGTTTTGGGTGGGGAAGAGGAACAGCCAAGCAGGGCACCACCATGAAGGGCTGCTGCGACAAGTCCAGCAAGCACCAAGAAAGCATCGGCTTGACCTTGGGGGGAGACCAAAAAGGGTCTGGAATGGGTTGCCCATGGAGGTTGTGAATGCTCCATCCCTGGTGGTGTTCAAGGCCAGGCTGGACGAAGCCTTGGGTGGCATGGTTTAGTGGGAGGTGTCCCTGCCCATGGCAGGGGGGTGGAACTTGGTGATCTTAAGGTCCTTTCCAACCCTAACTATTCTATAATTCTTGCTGGGCGGGCTCAGCCAGGACTCATGCTCCCCAGGCTCAGCCAGGGTTTGGGGATGTTACACTCAGCCTTGAGATGGTGCAGGAAGGGGCCCCTGTGCTGGGGAGCAGTGAGGTCTGGCTTGACAGGCTGCTCTGGGATGTATCCACAGGACAGCAGGGCCTTTGCACCCAGGGACCCCTCTTCGGAATGGAGAGGGCTCTGGACACTGTTCCAGCTGACAGGCCTGGCTCCTGGAGAGCAAACCTTCTCCAGCTGTGCTGGGGAGGAGGAGGATGGAGGGGGTGAGGGAGGGAAGAATATGAGGCTGGGCAGGAGGCAAGACCTGAGGGTTATCCACCCTCCACCAATGAAGACCCTGCTGGGATGAGACCCCAGGGCAACACTGACATCCCCCCACCCTCACACCAGAGTCCCCAGAGGTGACAAAGACTCCAGGGCCCTCTGGCCCCAAAAGGGGGTGCAGAAGTGCCTTCTATAGCCAGGGGACCTTTCCATGGGTATCTTCACAGATACCCCACACCCCCAAACCACACGCAGCCCCCCTGCCCACACTCACCTCCCACCGGATGCAGCAGGATCTCAGCCGGGTTGTGGGGTTTCAGCCCCAGTGCTGAGAGCGGGGTCTTCGCCAGGCCGGGGGGAGAGCGCACTGTCAGCATGGGGAACACAAGAGCATTAGTAGGGGGAAGGGAGGTAAGGCTTCAGAAAGGCTGGAGCTGCCCAAGGGTTCAGACCCACCGACCAGCTGCAATGGGGGATTGCTGGGATTGCTGTCCTTGCATAAAGCAATGCCCCAGAGAAGGACATGGATCTCCCTCTCTACTTAGGAGAGGGCACAGGGCAGGAGGTGCCTGAGAACAAGCAGCCTGCCATTACCGCAGGGCTGGCAGGAGAGAAAGGGGGCAATTCCCACCAGGGCAGGCTCAGACCCCATCTCCCAGCACCGTCCCCCTAAGGAATGGTCCCACCATGTATAAAGGCACAAAGCCTCTTTCATTGCCCCGATGCAAGCAGCCATCCCCCTACCCCTTAAACCCACGCCCACTTATCCCCACATCTGGCTGAGCTGGGACCAGGCTGTCCCAGAGCAGCTCACTACCCCCATAAAAGGGACAGCAGGACTGCTGCTCCCCCCCACCCCCACATTCAGAACAGCTCAACGGGCGGGTGAGGATGTTCACACAGAGCATGTTCCCTGAGCGGTGGCAATGAACACATGAGGTCTATACCCCTGTGCCCATACATACATACCAGGAGGAGCTGCATATGTACATATGGCTATGGTATGGATGCACTGTCAGTGTGGGGCAGCAGGGATTCACAGGGCAGGGACAACCTCCCCCACCAAATGTGACTCTTCTCCCTTCCTTGTCCCATCTCCCCAGTGCTGCATGTCCCCACACCAGTGGAGACACCAGGTCTCATCTCCAGCTAGAGGGCACATCCCTCCTCCAGCATTTGAACATCGCTGACTGACAGCACAGGCACAGTGCCTGCAGCGAGGCCAGGAGGCAATGGGTGGTGGGAGCTCCAGAGGAAAGCCAGACCCGAGCCCGGGTCCCCTTAGCAGCCTGGGACCGGAGCAGCAGAGCAGCCAAGTCCCTGGGAAACCAGACAGCAGCACCTTCCCCAGTGGGTGTCCCACTTCCCCACATCTGGTCAGCCACAAGCCGCGATGTCAGCTCACACCTCGGTTGGCTGAAGAGTAGCAGGGTCCTCCCAAGGACAGGAATTGTCCTGGGACCATCATCTCCCCATGGATGGGAATCACTTCTGTATCCCACCAGTGGCACTTTGGCAAAGCCTGCAAGCTGCAGCTTCAAACTTCCCAGGCCTCCCCAGCTGGCGTTGGACAAGAAGCACTGCCTCTGGGCCACGTCCCCAGCCAGGCTGTTCCTCTCACTTCTGCTAGTGAATCATCCCCCAGAACAAGCCACTGTCCCACTGCCAAGGAGCTGCTGCCCCAGGGCCAAGCTCTCTGTCCCCTGGAACAACAGGGCCATTTCCGAGCTGCCAAGCGCCTCAGGGATGCTCCCACACTCCTGTCACTGCATCCCATGAGACCAGGCTCAAACGTCAGGGGGTTGCACAGAAGGAAGGAACAGCAGCAGCACAGGACAAAACAGCCTTGAGCTCCACAGGCTGAGCTATGGGAGGCACAATGGCCCCATCACGACCTTATGACCAGTACGTGGCATCAGAGGGGGCTGCACCCAGCCCCAGCCTTAGAGCATCCCTCAGCTTTTGGCCCACAGAAATGGGGGGCTGGGGGGACTGCTGCCTTTTTGATGAGTTTCCCAGTTGCCCGTCTGCTCTGTTGCACTGGTCTAGCCCAAGTTCTGCTGTGCTGACTTGAGGCTGCTCATCAGGGTTCATCACTTGAGCCGGTCACACAAACCCGGTCCACACAAACCCACCACAGCTGTGCAGTCAGGGTTAGTCAGAAAGCAAGTATGCCATGCCAGAGGCAGAGACAAGCTGCATGCAGAGGGCTGGCATCTCCCACACATTTACCCCTCCTGCCCTTGGAACAGCGAGGAAGAAGTAGCACGGCATGTGAGGGTCTGCTTGAGCTCCCTCCTGGTCTCCAGTCCTGCCTGCCTCCCTCCCAGTCGCCTGCTACTGGAGCCTCCCTGCCTCTCTCACCATGCCAGTAGGAAAGATGGGGAGGTTCAGGATCAGGATGGGGTGAAAGGATGCTCTCTCCTTATCCCACCTTGGGATCCCATCCAAGAAATGCCCCAGCGAGTGGAGGGTAGGAAAAAGCTGAAAGGAGGGTACCAAGCATGGGATGCTGATGGCAGCGGGATGCGGATGGCAGTGTGGAGTGGTGGGATGCAGAGGAGAGAAGAGGAGTGATTAACGTGGTGGTGGGTGTCTGGAGCCCGGAGCTGTCTGACCCTTGGTGAATTTCCGGCTTGCCAAGAGCCACCCACCGAGCCCCAATGCCTCCCGGAGCCGCAGAACTTACAGGGATCAGAGCAAGGGGTTTGTGGTGAGACAGGGAAGGCTGGGGTGGGGGGAGAAGTCTCACCGCCGCTGGAGGGTGGGCTGGTGGGGGAGGCACCCTCCATCTCTTCAAAGGCTTCTTTGTAGCTGTGGAGGTGAGGCTGGAGAGAGCAGGAGAGAAGGGTCAGTCCTGTAGCTATGGTGGGCACAAACCTCCAGGAAACTCCAGGGAGGGAGCAGAGGAGGCAAAGGGAAGGTTTCCACTTCCTCCCTGCTAGCCACCACCCCAAAAAGCAACACTGACCCCCAACCCTCCAGGATGCTGCAGATGCTAACCAAGCTTTCTACCTCCCTGGAGGCTTCTGCCCTCCTCATCAGCCACCCCACCACTGCAGCATGCCCCCCCCACACCCCAGCACACCTCTTTGGGCCTCCCTCCGGGGTTGGCCGCGATGGTGCTGACCACCTCAGGCGAGAGGACGGTGGGGCTGCGGGGTGAGCTGGGCTCTGGGGAACTCTTCTCATAGTGGCTGTTGCTGGGGGTCTGCTTGCGGGCAGGGACCACACTCTCCTCCGGGGGTTTCTCCTGGGACTGTACCCCTGCAGGGCAAGCACAGAGTGGGAGACTGGTGAGGAGCTGCTGGCTGAGATGGGGACCAGCAGGAGATGCTCCGGGGCTGCTCTGAGAGGTTTCCCCTGGGCTGTGTGCCCTTACCCAGCAGAGATGGCAGCTTCAGCACTCACCTGCATCTAACCCCTGGACCAGCACAGCCAGTTGTGAGCTGAGGCAGATATACCCTACAGTGGTGGCTCAGCACCAAACAATAAGGCAAGGCAGGGTTATGGCTTGTGGCTGAATCACTACACTAGCCCTCCCAAGCATCATAAAACTTGGGCTCAGAGACAACCCCCAGCAGTGGGTGTAAAGGGCATGAGCATCCTGTGAGCAGCCCAGGCACACAGAGCTGGGGAGGACCAGGACCCCTCAATAGCATCACAGTGGCAGAGGAACAAATCCTCCAGCACCAGGGCAGCCACGTTCAGCTGCTCTACACCCACATATAGCTTCCACCACAGCAGAGAAAACACCTGATTTTGTGAGTCCTCAAGGCAGAGGGAGCACTGGGTCAGCACAAAAGACCCCAACATAGGGATGGTGCAGGGAAACCCAACAAATCACTGCTGATCTACTACCAGCACAAAGTCTTCTTAAAAAGGGAGACTAAAATCTCCTCTCCATCTCCCCCTAGATCTCCTTCCCAGACCCCAGTGCCAAGAGCCACCAGTGCCCATAGCCTGGCAGGGGGGGAAAGAAAGGAATTAATAAGTCACTGCAGGAAAATGGATTTCTTCAGGCTGTCAGGGTCTAATACATCCAACTGGTGATCCCCATGGGCTGGGACAAAGCCCAGGAATGGGGACAAAAGTGGCACAGGGCAGGGGGGCATGGGGAGTTGGGATAAGGGGTGCAACCCCAACTTTCCCAGCACCCAGCAGGCAGTGAAACACACTCTCCACCCCATCTTGCCTAATGAAGAGGTTAATTAGGGCTCACAGACGGTGGTGCTGGCTTCGATGCAGGGGAACTGTGCAGAACATCACAGGCACAGCAGGAGCCCACTTCTCCCTGGGACCCGCCTAGCAGCGGGGTGACCCCTGGTGTCAGCCCCATCAGCAGAAAGACAGCACTGTTCGCCCCACCTTTCCCACGGAGCCAGGGAGCGCTCACACTCCCCTTGGCCAGCACATTGGGGAAAAAAAAAAAAAAAAAGAGAAAAAGGGATTAAAAAAAAAAAAAGAGAGGCCAGCATCACGCTCCAGGAAATGCACTTTTCAAACACCAACTCCTTTCCCACGGGCTGGTGGAGGAAAACCAGCCATCAGCTGCTTCCCCTTGCTCCCTGGTGGGACCCACGCCTCACGCCCACTGACCTCCCCTCTTCATCGCCCTGCTCCGGCACCCTGCACTGGGGCTCTGCCGGCCCCAGGGAAAAGGCTCAGAGCGGGTGAAGGGCTGGGAGCAGGACAGGGAAGGAGGTGTCCTGGGTGCATTTCTAAATAGTCAGCCCAGTGAACGGCGGCAACAATAAACCCGTGGCTCTGGGGGGAGAGGCGGCCAGACTGCGAGGCAGGGGACCTGAGCCAACGGGGCCGGCTCCAGCCGCGGAGGCGGCCTGGAAAATTCCACTAAGAGCAGCTTTGAAACACAACTCCCGATCCCTTCTGCAGGTGTTGGCCGGCGCAGGGGATGGACAATAAAGAAGCCCGTGGAGGGGACAGGGGGATGGAGAGGGTCCCTGGGAAGCCACCCTGCAGGCATGGCCAGCATCGCACAGGGCCACCCTATATCTTTTGCCCTGATCATTCCCTAAGGCAATGAAGCCCAGAGTTGCGAGCACAGGGAAGAATAAAATGTTTGGGAAAATAAACACTTATTTTCTTTTTGTCCTACCACACTGTGCACTATGGGGTATCCTGCACGCTGCAGGAGCATCTGCAGGAGCATCACCAGAAGCATCCCTTGGCCCATCCCAAAGTGAGCTGCAGGGACCAAGCACTGCAGAGAGGCAGGGTCTGACTCCTCAACCCATGCATGCCTGCCTTGTTTTGCATTTTCCATTTGGGAAGCACAAACAGCAGCTTGTCAGAGCCCAGCTTTCAGTGCACATCACACATCTGCAGTGTGAGATCCCCTGCTCCATCCCTGGGGCTGCACATCACCCAGCTGCAGTGGCCTGCATGTGGCCCACTGGGACACCCAGGAGCTCACCAGGTTTTGGCTGCTCCACTCCCCAGATATGGAAAGCAACCAGGGCTGAAGGGAGGGGAGGGAGGAGAGGGGGAAAAAAGGGACTCATTGTTCAGAAGCAGAGAGTGGGAAATTTCATGGGCCGCCCAGAGCAAAGCCTGGAGGAAACCCAGGCTCTAAGCACAGTTCCCCCAGCCCCCCGGGTAATTTATGGGCTGGAAACTACGCTTGGAAAACAAACTCTCCTTTCTCCCGCTCAGTGTGCCCCCTCAGCAGAGGTACAGCCTCTCTTAGCCATGGTACCACCACCACCCAAGGATGCCCTCCCTGGCTGTGGAGGAAGGGTTGTTTGCCATCACAAAGGGGGAATAGCAGCCTTCACCCCCTCCTTACCCTCACCCCTCTGGCACTTCCACTCCTTCTGCTGCCCATTTAGCTCTGTAACCTGGCAGCAACCCTCACCCAGCAAGGCCCTGCCCTTGGACTCAGCACAGCTCTAGGGCTGGGGAAGGGCAGGAGCACAACAGCAGGGGAGGAGGAAACAGGAGGGTAGTTTTGTGGCTGGGGAGCCAGATTTCTAAGCAAAATCAGGAGGCAGCTGCTTTTTGGATATGAGATGCTGGAGCTACTGCCATGCAAGAGCTAGGTGATACTCCCACAGTGCAGAAGAGAGGGCAAACCAGCATCCCATGGCCCCTGGGATGTGGCACCCAGCACTTTTCCCTGGGACATGTGATGCCCAGGGAAAAGAGAGGTAACAATTTGCTCCCTGCCTGCACGAGGAACAGCAGCAGACATTGCCCTGTACCTCTCTCCATTGCCTTGTACCACTCCACACGAGAGCCCAACTCAACCAGTCCCACTGGGCACAGACACTTCTACTGCCCTACACTTCCCAAACTGACCACCAGAAACAGGCATGACAAAATACCTTACCCTGTCCTGAGGGCTGGGAGGGCTCAAACCTCTTTGGTCCTCCTGGGGAGAAACCAAGCTGCTAGTGGGAAGAGAAAGGTCACCCAGAAAGCTGGTGACTCCCCAGCCCACTCTTTGCCAACAGCCCCTCTCTATCCCCCCTCCTTCTGCTCACCTTGGGACAAGTGGGTGCAAACCAAGCACCCAGCAGGGACCCAGCACCCACCACTCAGGGCAGACTCATCTCCAAGGAGCAAAAGCCCTGGGGCCTGTGGAGCTGTACCCCAGCCCTTGCCTCACTGAGGGGTGAGCTACAGCCAGGGCAAAGCTTGGCAGGGATGGAGCAAGGGTCTGCATCTGGCCCAGGAGTAGAACCACACCAGAGAGCAATGCCAGGTTTGGACGAGATGCAAAACCAAGCGTGCTGGGCAGAGGAGGCTGTACCCAGGGCCAGGGGCTTCCCCATCACTGGGAAGGCTGAGGGGAAGCCTGAGCATCACTCTGCTGAGAAAGGGAATCAGTCCTGGAGATTGATATAATCCTAACCCTAACTAACCCTAACCCTAGTTAGATCTGGGGAATGGTCTCCCAAACCTCCCTCCATCACACATCCATGCAACACACGGAGCACTCAGCATGCAGGGGTGCGGAGGAAGGAGAAAGGAGAAAGAAGGGAAAAGGAAGGATGAGAAGGAAGAATGGAGGACAGGGAAAAAGAAGGGTGGATAGGGAAGGTTCAAGGACAAAGAAGGAGGGAAGTGGAATGAACAAACCAGAGAAGGACCGTTGCTTGTTCAGAGGAGGACGGGGGACTTTGGTGCTCTTGTTGAGGTTCCTGAGCCTGGCGTTGTACTCTGCCAGTGTACCAGGACAGGGAGTGCAAGGAGGTGGGAGGTCACAGGGGGCAGACACAGTCACCCATGGGGAGAAGGAGGGGGTATACAGGACAAATGTCACGAGATACAACAGGGACACAGAGAGAGAGAAAACAAGAGAAAATATTAGTTGGGCTCCAACACATGAGCGTGGGGCTGCCTGGTGTCCAAGGGAGCTCAGACCCTGCTTGGAGCTGCTTTCCCATCACCTAAATCACATGGCTCCAGGCACCACCACTCAAACCCACATGGGAAATCAATGGTGGCTCCCAACCACACACAGCCTTGTGTTGTGCAATGCCACAAATGCCATCACCATCTCCTTGGGGATGGCACCATATCCAAGCCCCTCCATCATGGGACAAGAAGGGATGACCCCAAATGCCCCTCTTGGAGATGAGGGGACCTGAAGGACAGCAGGGCCAGCTCGTCTCTGTGGGAAGGCATCAGGGACACGAGCACTGAGCTGTCCCATCTCTTCCTCTCCATCACCAGAGGAGATGGGAATGGGAGCGCTGCCCCACCAGGCACAGAGGAGGTGCGAGGTGCTCCTCGCTGCTGCACCAGGACACACAGGCAATTTATAGCAGCAGAGAATGTAAACAAACCCATCCATGCCCCACCATCCCATGGTCCGTCCTCTCCCGACCTGGCCTCAGGACACGTTGTTCCTGCTGGAGGTCAGCCTGCCCTTGCTGTCCCAGCTCCAGAGCGGACAGGTGGCTGCAGGCTGGGGACAGTCCCCAGGATGCCTCTCCTCCCAGGGAACACAGCGACTGCAGGGGTTGAGTGACCCCAGCCCAGCCCTGAGGACCTGACCCCAGAGCTGGGAGGGGACTTTTTGACAGACATCATCCAACCCCCATTTCCCACCCATTTCAGATGTGTTCCTCCTCTCCTGAGGATCCTCTTCTTTTCCACCCATTTTTTCCCCTCCATATTTGGGGGAGGAATCTGCTCCTTGTAATATTCAGTCCAGACATAGAGCGTGATTTTGGCATCTGTGTGTCCTCGGGTTTATTTAAACCCTCCACACAGGCCCTGGGACCCTCTGTGGATATGGCCTGAATTGCTGAGGTCAGGTTCAGATAGATGCAAACTTCCCCCAGCACCTCTGCAACTCTTCCCTGCTCCCCTCCCCATGGCTGGCACTCCTCCTGCCCCCTGCCTCAGTGCCGCAGTGACTCAGCCCCACGCCTGGGAGGTTGGCGCTGTTGGATTTTTTCCAGCCAAGGCTCTTCCCCCTCCTTCTAATGCCAGACGAGTTTCTGGACTGAGCACAGAGCTGAAAGGGTCTGAGCTGCCAAGCCCCAGCATCACGAGCTGGCCCCTAGCCCCAGACCTTCCCAAATGTCACTCCAGAATTCAACAACTGCAGTCGAAACAGCAGGGAAAAAGGGCACGGAGCTGCCACAAGGTCCTCTGCGTCCCAAAGCCCCTGAGCCAGAGCTGAAGGAGGAAATCGAAGGACGTGGTTTCCCCTCCGCAGCACGGAGCAAATGCCTTCATCCAGCCACCGCGCTGACGCTGCACTCAGCCAAGCACTGCACCAAACCCTGCTGGCAGGATTCGGAAATGCCTTCCCAGCCCCAAGGCCAAGCCCAGCTTCAAACCATCCAGGACCAAGCTGGCTGGGCCGCTGGGGCATAAACGCTGCTGCCAGCCCACAGGCTGGCCCTCACTCCAGCAGCACCCTGGCTGCTCAGGGTGGAGGGCCATGCACCCAACCCAGCAATCCACAGGGAAAGCCGGGGCTGAAATTGGGTAGGAACCCAGCTATGTTAAACACAAGGCAAGTGCTCTGCTGGGAACCTCACACCAGAGCACGCTGCAGGCAGGGTGTCCATCCTGTCCAAAGCAGGGTCCAGGCAGGGCACCCTCATCCAGAACTGAAAACATCTCCCCAAACTTGGCCATATTCTCCCTAAAAGAAAAAATTCCCCCCAAGACCCAGCAAGTGGCCAAGAAGCAGGGGACAGACCAGCCTGCACCCCAAGGGTGAGGATGGGGAGCCCGACCACCATGGCCACCCCCTCTTCCCACCCCGGAGGGTGATGCTTCTGCAGATGGGGAGTTGCAAGTGGGGGGGTCTTGGCAAAGGAGAGCAGCATAGGCTGGCCCCCTGCCCAGTGTGCCTCTGCAATGGATCACTCAGTCCCAAGCCCAGATCCGGAATGAATGAGGAGTCGCCACATCTCCCATCCCAGCTCCACCGTGCATGCCACCCCCATGGGTTCCAGCTTCTCAGGACACGCGGTCACCCCTGTCCCCCCAAGGAATCAAAGCATCCTACCTGCCACCCTGTGGGCCACCAGGCCCTCCAGATTCAAGGGTTCTTCTCCCAACCTCGACAGGTCTTCATAGCTCTCTGGTCCCTTGAGGGGCATCTGGGTTTGTGCTGGGACGGTGGGGGAAGGCGGGGAGGAGACGAGGAGCTGCTGAGACCCCACGGGGCTGTAGGAAGTGCTGAGCGGGAGGATGCCCATGGGTGGTCCAGCTGGAGCATGACTGTAGCTCCTCAGCTCCGGCACCGGTGCCGGCTGGTAGTTGTACGGCGAATAGGTCTCCCGGTACTCATGCACCCCATAGTCCAATTCCCCTGGAGAATAGGCTTTAACCCCAGGCTCGGACACCACAGGGCTCACAGAGGTGCCGAAGGACCTCAGCTGGGCCACCTGTGGGGCTGGCCGGGCATAGAGACCGGCACCGGGCTGTGCCAGAGGGGAGGAGCACAGGGGTCCCGCCGGTTTGTCCTGGTGGGAGGCAGCAGGCACACTCTGAGACTTGTGGATGGCAGGCGCGAGGTCCAGCATGAGGACATCAAGGGCTTCGATGGACTGCTCAATCTCCCGGCGGGAGGGCGCCCGGGGGAACTCAGGCATGCTGTGGCTGTGTGGGGGCACCAGCTGCAGTGGGCTGGGCTGGGGGCTGCAGCTGGACATGCTGGGGCTGTGGCTCTCCACGCCACCCTCCTGCAGCCGGGAAGGTGGCCGGCTCCCTCCTTGCTGCTGCCAGGAATTCAAGCCCCTCTGCACGGCTTCCCGGCTGCTGGTGCTACGAGCTGGGGCCTGGGGCAGCGCTGGGGTCGTGTTGTACTTGACCGCGTCCACCGCCGGGAAGGACCGGGAGCGATAGGTGCCGGGGGGATCGTAGCTGTACAGGTAGTGCTGGGATCCAGGCAGTGCATGGGGTTGGTGCCAGCCTGGGGCATGGGAGCCCTGTGGGCGCTGTGGGTAGCCAGCCAGGTGCTCCTGAGCAGATGCTGAGGACCGCAAGGGGGGCAGTGGGTCACGGACGTGGTGGCCCATGAGGGCATTCTGGTTGTTGTAGGAGTAACCACCATTGGAGAGCGGCTCGCCATCGTACAGCCCATCCTTCAGCAGCTTCTCAGCCCCATTGCAGCTTGTGGGGCCATTGGGTAGGGAGGAGAGGCTGCCCACCCGGGGTGCCTCTTGGTAGCCAGCCTCACTGGCGGTGGTGGTGCCATCCAAGGAGGAAAGAGTGCCCAGGCTGCCCACACTGTGCCCATCCTGGTTGGGTAGCTCATCATCCAAGATATCTGTTTCCCGCTCAGCCACCAGCACCGCAGCATTCCCGTTGACATGCACCTGAGCCGGCACCACATGGCGGCCTGGCATGGTGGGCAGGCGCACCGGTACGGGGCCAGGCACGTGGTTGTGCATGGGAGGAGCGCTCTCCAAGCCGAAGCCGACAAGGAGACGATCCAGCTCCCGCTTCTCCTCGGGGCTCAGCACCGCCTGGCCACCGGGCACCGCAGGCACCCCCGGCTCATCGGTCCGGTCGGTCTTGTTGGAGGCGGTGGAGTTGCCTGAATCGCTGCTCACCGAGAGGGTGTGCTCGACGTGGTTGGGCGCTGCCGAGAGTAGGAGGCGGGCGGCGTTGACGGCACCAGTGCTGCCGTGCAGGGAATCTTTCTTCTTCACTTTAGCGTAGAGGCTCCCGTCCAGGGGCCCTTGTGTGTGCCCAACCTCTGCAAGGGGAGAAATGAACACGAGACCCCAGATCAATTCCTGGCTCTCTGCACGGAGCTAATGGGTCCCATTAGCCGGTCGTTTCGATCTCTTCCGTGCCGCCGAACGCTTAACGACGAGCATCACTGTCTCCTCGGCACCCTCCGCAATCCCACAGGCGCCATCATGCAGAGACACCGGAGCCAGACCCCCCCTATCTCCGTGCCCCCACTCCACATGCTGTCCTGCCCTGCCCTGCAAGCACCGCCTGCCCTGCTGGGATTCACCAAATATGCCCCCCTGGTTCCAGGCATTCCTCGCAAATCCTCTCCATGGCTGGAGAGGGCCAGGGCTGCCCACACAGTCTGCCATCACTGTTCCACAGGGCTCAGCTGGCTCCAAAGGGCCACACGGCACTGGGGAGGTGAACAGGGAGGGTGTGTGAGATGCATCTCGGGCCATAGGAGGACGGGTGGAGGAGGTCAGGATCTGGCCTCACAGCTCCGTGTGTCTCCAGCTGGATGATGTACTCAGCCCACGGGTGAAGGACACACGAACCGCAGACCCATGTTCCCCCTCCCTGCCCGCTCTCCTCCCAGATGATGCACAGATCCAGCCAGCTGCCCATCCTTGACATTTTCTTCCTTGGCTATAGACAGGCTCCCACCCTTTCTGTCTTTCCCTTTCCCTCTCTCAGGATGGGTGGATCTGCCCCAGACCTTCCCTCAAGCTGGAGGCTGCCCCAAAGCTCCTACACAGGCAGTGCCTTTGCCCAACCCTGAACAGGAAGCATCTGTTCTCTGGGGAGGCACTGAGCACCTCAGCACTGTGATTTAAGACCAGTGCAAGCAGCCGGCTTCACTCTGCAGCCCCAAATGGCTGGGGGGCAGCCAGGGCACAGGAGCATCACCAGCAGCAATGCTGCACCCCAAGTGTGTGATCCCCAACTCCCACCACCCACAGCAGCCCCCAACATCACAACCAGCTGTGCCCTTTAAACCTTTCCGGATGGGGCAGCCAGATTCTGGGGGCACAGAGGGACCCCAGCCACTCAGATAGCAATGGGGGCAGCCCCAAGCTGCGTCCCCCCCAGTCAGAGCGTGCACGGCACCAGCCAGGCTGCAGACTCCTGTTTTTCCAGCTCCCTGCCGAGGTTTCCTGGAAGGTCCCACGAGCAGTGTTAAACACTTTCTTTTGGAGGAAAAAATGACTCTTCCCTGGCGGGGGGCCAGGCAGCTAACTCAGGAACAGAAGATGGCCCTAGCACGATAGTGTGAAATCAGAGCACTCCTATCTGCGAGCAAAACACTTCCGAAAGCCAGCCCGGAGCTGGGATGGCTTAACCAGTCCCACACCACTGCACCCGCACCCCAGCAGCTCCTGCACCACCAACTGGAAAGCAGAGCGGGGCAAAAACACCCAGCGTGAGTCCTCCCAAGTCAGGGCCCCTCCTCGCTGCTGATTTCCACTTCCAAACCCCTGCCAACAGCATCCCAAGGAGGCAGCCAAGCCCCAGAGCTGCCCCTCTTGGCTTGAAGATGCCCCAGGACCATGCTGCAAGGTCCTTTCTGGGCACTTGGTGTGGGAAAAGATGAGGTTTCCACAGGTGAGGCTCCACAGTTTCTCCCAGATACTCAGAGCTCCTTCATGCAGTCAGTCTAGCCAGGAACCAGCAGCATTTGACTCTGCAACATCTATCATACTGGGGAAAAAGGGAAGAGAGGGAGAAAATCCCTTCCCATGGAGAGAGAAAGGAAAAAGCAGCATGTTCAGAGGCAGCGACAATGCTGGAGAGGCTGAGACATCACAGGGAGCCAGGGAAAAGGCCTAGCCTTCCTGTGTGATGGCAGCAATGGGTGCTGGCCAGTCCAAGGAAACAGGGCAGGAGCCAGGCTGGGGGCTGGGATAAATAGGGCAGGGGAATAGAAAGGAAAAGGGAATAAATACATATAAATGAAAGCACATGGCACCAAGGGAGAAAATAGATGGGAAAGGCTTCAATTAAGACTGTGGGCTGGGCACCACCCATGACTGGGAGAAATGTCTCAAAGTGGGGTCAGGATGGGGCGCACAGCAGTTCACAGCAGCACCAAAAAGCAATGAGCGCCCTGTCCCACCTTCCCTGGACCTTCCAGCACCACAGGGACATGGGGGTCTGGTGGCACCAAGAGCGGTGCTAGAGTAGCAAGAAGATGAAGGGGCCATCACACCCCTACCATCAGCCAAGCCTTTGTCCCACAGCTGCTCTGCTCCACACCTGATTGCCCACTCTGCCCTCAGCCCCACGCACACCATGGTCTCTATTCCCTGCCATTCCCCACCACTCCCAAGTCCCCTCCACCAACCCTGGGCCACGCTATCACTCGTATGACCATCTATTGCTTGCCACCTGAGAAGCTCAATAAAATTCCCCAAAAATGACCAAGGGAAAGGGGAACAGGCTGCCTTAGCCAAAGCAGCCATCCCCAAAGCAGCAGCTCCCAGATCCCTGTTTGTTTGCAGCCCCCAGCAAGGTCAGATTCCATCCCTGAAGGTCAGAGCGGCTCCAGCCTGGGAGTCTGTGCCATCCCAGCATGGGCTGTGTTTGCCCAGGCAGGTCTCAGCCCTGGACACACATCTCTGCTCCGGCTGTATGGATATGGCTGGGGGAAGTGCTGAGCCCAGTCTGGTCCTACCCCTGCTGCCAGGCTTGCTGCCCTGTCAGGCCAATGCTCTGCCCCCCCCCTCCCCAGCACCCTGCAACCACGATCAGGAGAAAAACTGGTCCAGGGCACACATGACAACAGAAAGGGAGAGTTCAGCTCGCATCCCGAAAATCCCAGCCACCTGCCGCATGCCTAGTGGGGTGCACCATACAGCATCATGCATCAGTACAAATGCTCTGCACAGTGCAGAGATAAGGCTGAGGCACTATTGCATCTCCCCTGGTCCCCAACAGCATCCCACCTGCTGCCTCCACTGCCCATCACACAGAGCCTGGCCTCGGGGCATCCCTGGAGCATCAGCTGGCAGGGAAGATCCTGGGGTCCCAGGATCCTTTGTAGAATGAAGGACGCAAGCAGAGTACTATGGGGAAGAGCTGAACCCCCTCAGCTCTGGTTTTATCCTGTGCCCAGTTACGATGGCAAGAAGTAACCCCAGCCTCTGAGCTGTGTGTCATCAGGACCATGAATCACCCACCCATCCCCAGACCCTTCTCCCATCCCATCCAGCTCAAAGAAAAGCAAAGTCAGGACTTACCAAAGGGGATGGGGAAGAAAAGATCCCAGGCGAAGAGAAGGAGCAGGCAGCAAAATCGCTTTCCTTTGCTCCCTCCAGCACCAGAGCCTTCCAGGGGCACCTGGCACAGTGGCAGCTCCAATGGTGTCTGCAGCCGGCCCCGTGTGTCCGTCCAGGACAGGAGCCGACACCCCAGAGCTGGCTTTGGCTGTCGTTTGTCCCTTTGGCTTTGCTTTCCCTCTCACAGAGGGAGCTACTCCCTTCCCAGCGCCGTGCCCCGCGGGGCCAGCAAGAGGGGCACCCTGACGGCAGCAGAGTGCCCAAGGGGCTCAGATACGGGGTACCCCGAGGACACGGGGCACCCCCAGGACACGGGGTGCCAGAGGGGAGGATGGAGGAGAGGAAGGCGGCAGAGGCAGGAGATGGGCTGGAGGCGAGGAGGTGCAGTTGTGCTCCCCTCTGCCCAGACCACACAGGGACGAGCGGGAGGGGAAGGGGAGAGGCGCTGGGGAAGGCGATGGGGCCGCCCAAGCCTTAGCCCCAGCCCGGGTTAACCCCAGCGAGGTGCGGGGAGGGCGAGAGCCATGGAGGGAGGACAGCCAGACAGACAGCTCCTGGTTATGAATATTAACTACTTCCTCCACAGGCAGGGCTGTGCCACGTTAACTGTTTCCTAGGCAGAACGGAGAGACAGCTGGACAGCCTAACCACCCCGCACTGGGTGTGGGACATCACCCCGATGGACAGCCCCCCCCCCCCCCCCCCCCCCAGTTTGAGACCCCAGCCCTGGCTGGCTCTTGTGTGCACACATCACACTTGTCCCCAGAATGCAGCGATACATTCACATAGTAGGGATGTCCTTTCAGGCCACAAGTGATGCTGTAACCCAGCCAGGTCTGCAGATCCAGATGTGTTGCTGGAGTCTTAAGTTTCTCTATCTTAAATAAATTCCACAGGAATGGAAACCTTCTGTGTCCGAGCCACTGACCCCACCAGTGCCAGACCCAACCCACCTTCATAACTCCCTTTCCCTGCCCCACCAGTGGCACAGCACAAGGTGGACATGCCATCACTGGTTTTAGGATGGCATGTGCCACCTTGTCCCACGGCAGGAAGCACAGCACAGATCCCATCCACCCAGGAGCCACCTGCAACCACACTGCTCCATCCCAGGCAAAATCCATGCTGGAATGGTGCTGACCATTTGCTGGTCCAGGTGACAGTCAGCCTACCCCGTGTTCGGGCCCCTGTTTGAATCCATACTCACGCTTTCACTCCTCAATTGATCCAACACACTCAGCAAAACACGAGGCTCCCTCCACTCTAATCCCCCAAATCATGTTTCCCACACCCCCATGGATGACAGCAGTGGATGAGAGCACTGTTTCCACCCGGCCCCTGAGTCACAGCCCCATTTGTTCCCAGAGAGCAGCACACACCAAGTTAGCGTCCTCCCAAAACCTCAGAGGTTTGCTTGCTTCTCTGCCTTTTTAGGTTCTGCCCTGGTTGTGCAGTGGGACGGCAGTTCAAGAGCTCCCCACTGTCCCCACAGGGACAATACCAGCGCCATGCACACACTCTCCTGCACATACTGACTTCAAGAATGGTTTAAAGGGGAAGGAGAAGGGGCTGAGCTTCCACCAGCCCGTCCCTCTCTCCCTGCATCCCAGCCCTGCCTGATTCCCAGTCCCAGCGGGACCAAACCCCATTACATCTCCGCCCCACATCACCACCCCAAATACCAGGTCAGAGGACAGCCCTTCTGCTGCCACAGTGGGAGCAGCCACGCTCCAGCCGAAATGTCCAGCCGAGCCCGTGGAGGCTCCAGCTTTTCTCCCATGGGGAATAACCAGAAGCAAGGGGGAGACACTCCCTATGGATCCCCATCCAGCCCAGCTGGTCCCTGCTGTCCCCCTGAATGCCTTCCCCGCCAAGCCCTTACCTTGCCGCGGCCAGAGCAGAGAGCAGTGAAGAGGGGCGGGATGGGGAGGGGGAGACGGATTCCTTCAGCTTTAGTCAGCTGGCGAAGGAGAGAGCAGAGCCAGGGCTCCCCTCCCCACCGAGCCCGGCCAGGGGACGGATCCAGCCGCGGGGGGAGAACGGCAGCCCGCCGGCAGCTCCAGCAATGGATTTAACAGCTCCAGCCTGGCCCGTTTGGCTCCTGCCTCTGCACAACCTGGCTCGCCCTCCTGCGCAGCCTCAGCTCCAGAGAAGTGGGGCAGGATTTGACTCCACTGTGGAAATGTACCCTAAGGGGTGCCCACCCTACTGGGGGACCGGTGGAGGACAGCGACCCCACCTCGGGACTTGCTGCCACAAGGAACGGTGCAGGATCGGCATCCAGCTCAGTACTGGGGTCTCTGGGACCCCTGGCCTTTGCACTTGGGGTTCAGGCTCTGCTGACCTCCCATCCCCTGAGGGGTGGGACGCTCATCCCACTCCCCACCCCGCCAGCCCAGCCCTGAGCTGCAGGGGAGCCCCGCCAGAAACATGACTCAGGTGGGGATTTAGCAAGTCTCCTGCAGATGTTGGATTTGGCCAGGCCATGGCCACCCCCCTTCCAGCCCCAGTAAAAAGGGGGGCAGGCAGGGATAGACTGTAGTGGGGATCGGGATGGTACAGAGGTGAAGGGGGGATGCTGGGTGCAGCAGGAGCAGCCAGGGCGGGTCCAAGGGCCAGTCGTTACAGGGAGCTGCTGGGCTGGGGACACACAGCCCTTTCGCATTGTCTCAACCACCCCAGTATGATGGCCTGGTGTCCCCCCACCACAGTCACACATACAGACCCTGGGGACAACCTCTCCACCAGCTCTGTGCCAGCTCCAATATCCTGCTCTCCATTAGCATAGGTTTTCCCAGCAAATTCAAACCACGCCATAGATGATCCCCATCCAGACTTGCACACTTGCCACTGCAGGACCCCAGAAATTTCTCTGCGGTGATCCTCCAACCAGTCACAAACCCAGCAGTGCTGCATCCAGCCACAGGTCTCCTCCTGCCTTCCTGGAGCCAGCCTGTCCCCAGGGAGAGCTACCTTGGTGCTGGCAAAGCATCTAGCACCATCCACCCGCAATAAAGGATGCCTGTACCCCAAAGACAGCCAAAAGAAGAAATGTCCCATGCGCACCCTTCAGCGTACAAACGCACTCTCAGCCAACCAATGCCCATGGTTCGGCAGCAGGAACCCAGCACCAACCCCAAAGCCCCTTCAAGGAGGAGGTGGAGAAGAATAAGGAGGAGGAGGAAGAAGAGGGAAGGTTGGCAGAGCCGCCTGCCTCCCCTGTGCTGCACGGAGATGGATGATGGGCAGTGGGACAGTGCGGTGGGGATATCCCAGCTCACGCCACTGTCACTAAGGACCACAAGGCAGCCTAAGCACAGCCAGCAGCAGGGACCCTGCCTGGGTCACACAGGAGGGTGAGCTCGCCGAGGAGGGCAGCTTGTGCCATGGGGGGGGGGGGTTTGCAGAGCAGCCCCTGCCTGCTGAACCTAGCTGGGTCCCCTCAGCCAGAGGGTGAGATGTGGGGGTTCAGATCCTGCTCTCATGCCCCCTGCCCTGGGCAAGCTTGGTCAGCCAGCAACCCTGCTACAATTCAGCTTCCCCTTCTCCAAGCCCCAATAGATAAGCACAGTGGAGGCAAGGGGAACACCAGGATAGGCACCACCCGAAACATCTCTCCAGCTTCAGGGTTCCTTCGTGTCATCCCACTCTGCCAGGCACCCCCCAGCCCATATGGGTGCCCTACATTAAGAACAAGCTGCCAGAGCAAGGGCATCCACCTCCTCTGAGAGCGGCTGTGTCCGGCGGAGACGCAGCACTGGGAGGACCCACCGTTTGGCAGGCGATGACGATCCCGATCCCGTCGGCCCGGGGTGCGGCACCGGTCTGCGGGGAGCCTTCACCGAGCACCGGGGACAGGCAGTGGCGGGGACGAGAAGCAGCGGCTGATTTCACCCCGGCGCGGGTCCCGGTGCCAGCCTCACCCCCCCTCTGCTCCCGGCCGCTGCTCGCTCGCGCCTGGTGGTGCCAAAAATGTGGCGTGCAATTCCCTGACCAAATAAGGTGAGAACAACCATAAACAGGGACCCCCCTCGCGCAGCCGGGCACCGCGTCCCCATGCCAGCCCGGAGAAGAGGAAAGGTGCTGAAACAGAGGGAGGAAGATGGCACACCCCTGCGAGCCCATGGTGGCTCTCTTCACCACTGCTCGAGGTGCCCCATAGGGCGGCTGGGGTGACCCCCTATAGATGCGCTGTCTCACTGCTGCCTGTGCTGGCACAGGTCAGAGGGCAGCCTCCTGCCTGCAGCTTCACCCTCCAGCAGTCCTGGCTCATTCCCAAACAGGGGCAGCATTTGCAACTCCAAGATGCCCTCATTCCCCATTGCCACCCTCCCCGTGGGTATCGGCACATGGAGGGACCTCTGCAGCTCAAACACTTACTGAGGTCCCAGAGAGGGAATGGAGAGGAGCCCTGGGGTTCCTCTGCAGCCCTGTGAAGGGCTGGAAGTGCAGCAGCTCTGCCCTGGGGATGAGAAGGGAACCACATGCACCAAGGCTGAGGGCAGGGGCAGAGCCGCAGTGGGAGCTCATGGTGGGGACTCACATCCCTCCCGCTCGGGCCCAGACCCACAGCTCTGCAGCTCCCCGCCACATAGCTGAGCCCGTGCATCACGAGTTGCCTGTTTACTGCCCTGTGCCAAGGCACCGCCCGTGCCAGCTCCACACAGCCAGCCCCATGTCCCCACCATGGGCAGAGGCACCCTTGCCAGCCCCACTGTCCCCAGCAAGCCCAGCCGCCTACAGCTCCCACTCGGAGCAGCTGGTGACCTTCAGGGATAACGGGGGCCTGCAGCTGTCCCTGCTCCAGGGGCGCCTATCCGGACCAGGCCAGGAAACCTCAGGCATCTGCTTGGCCACAGGTGGCCTCGCCTCCAGGGCAGGGGCCCACCACCCACCACATGCAAGTACTGCCTGCTCCTGAATGCAGGCAAGGGTGGCCTCGCTGCATCCCAGTGGGTGCTCAAGGAGCTTTAACCAGCTCCAAGCAATGGTGCAGACCCTCCAGGGCCACTGAGGCCTCCTCATCTAACCCAGAGAAAACTGAGGTATAGCTACATCCCGCCATGCTTGCACCATGAGGAAGGTGCTTGGAGACCTAATGGGCCCCCCATTAGATCCCACTCCTGACAGACTTAGGGCTTGGGTTTCTAAAGCTCCGGGGCATCAACTGGGGCTGAAGCCCGCTCTGTGCAAACAGGGCTTTGAGAGCAAAAGTGCTGAAACAAACAAGCTTGAGCTCCCTGGCATCACGGCAGGGGGGAAAGTCCAAGAGATCCTCCTGTCCTATCTCACGGCCATGCTACTCCCAGCAGTGGCCGCCTGCCCCAGCTCTGCTGCCCACCAGCATCCCCTGCCCTGGGGTAGGGGGATTCCCATGGGGACACTTTGGCCACCAACCGCCCGTGAGCCCTGACCTTTCTCCAGGTGCTTGCCAGGCAGGGGTGGCTCAGCCCAGGTGCCCTCCATGCTCTCCTCGCGCTGGACGTTGAAGTTCTCGTAGGAGTCCCACCGGATGAGTGGGTCGGACGTGTTGTAGTCCACGGAAACGCTGGGCCCGTTCTCCAGGTGCTCCATGCCTGGGAAGAGGCAGGATGGTCAGCCGAGGTGATGATGGAACCATCACAGGTGGGACAAGGACAGAAGGTGCAACAAGGAAAAAAGCGCAGAAGCCATAGGGCAAGGCAGGAGAGTCATACAGAGAGATGGACGAGGATGGGATTTACATGAAGACCCACACACAAGGTGTACAAGGCTGGCTGGGGCTTTTGAGATTGCCTAGGGACGGGCATACAGACTGGCAGCAAGTGTGCCTTTTTCGGTAGAGGCCCTCTGTTCCCACATCCTCCTTCTCTCCTGGGCCACCAAATGCTGCAGAGACCAATCTCCTGCAATAGGGCACCAATGGGTGCTTTTAGATCAGCATCACTGCCTGCACCTCTCATCCCACTCTGGTGACAAACAGACTGCAAATGGGGCAGGGGTTGGTTGCAAGGAAGGCAGCAGGGGATAGAGCTGGTGAGTGGGAAAGGAGCCAGCATCCAGCTCCAAACCCCTCTGATGGCGAGCTGGCCATACCTTGGATCTTCTCAGGGCCATAGGAGAACACGAACTCCACCTTTCCATATTCAGGAAAACGGTCATCTGGGAAGGAAAGAGCAGAGCAAAGGGGCCACCTCTATCTATCCCTCCAATGGCACCCAGATAGCCACCCCAAATATGCCTCAGGGCCAGTAGCAGGTAGTGTGGATTTAGGGTGGATGCCCACATGTCCCCACAATGGGAGCAATGTCAGAGGGGTGGGAGGAGGGAGTGGGGAGGTATTGGGGTGGTTACCTCTGAAGGCCTCGTCCAGGTCCTCCTTGCCAAAAACGACATCGAGGTCATGCACAGCGCATGTGTGGAACTGCACGCGGAAAATCACGTCCCGGGTCGGGCTGCGGAACTTCTTGTGGTAACACTTCAGCTGCGGAAGGCAGTGGGGATGAGCCATCATGAGGAGCCCCAGGGCTGGGCAAGGAGGGACCGGGGGAGCCCAAGAAACAAGGGCCACCCGTCCTCCAGCTGCTCCCCACATGGGGGGCTGACCCAAGGCTCCTTACCAAGATATCACCCTTGAGGAGCAAGCCAGGCTCAATGGTGATGCAGATGCCCGTCTGGCTGTCTCCTTGCACGTTGCTGCAGTGAGGGACAGCCCAAGGATGTGAGCTGTGGTGCAGAGCCCCCCCAGGGCTCCCAGCACCACCTCAACCAGCCCCTTCCACCCAAACCCATCCAGGAAAGGTGCAAAACACAGAGCTGGCTGTCTCAGTGATAGAGGAGGGTCCTATCCTCCACCCCAAAGGGTCACCCATTCCCAGAGGGAGGAAGATGGGAAGAGGAACCTGAGGCACAGCCCAATGAGGGTGTTAAGGATGCTGGGTGTGAGGGTTTGACCAGGGTCCGAGTGCTGAGGCTGGGACACCAGCCATCCACACGGCTTCCACGGGTCAAGCAGGGCACAGGACATGGAGGGAGGGCTCTTGTGGAAGGCTCTCCTCCCTCCCTCAGTTTCCCTGCCAGAAGCCTTCCCATTCCAGGGGCACCAAGGGACTGCCTCTGGGCGGTGGCATCAGCAGCAGGGGATGAGGGAAGAAAGGAGTTGGATTTCACAGGCAAGATAAACCTGGAGTTTATTACCAGCATCCCATAAACATTCTATTAAAAGCTGAATGGCAAGGCTGGGATGGCAGTAAATCTCAGCTAACGGGGATGCCGGGCTGCAAGGAAGGGAGATCCTGGTTCAGGGAGAGGAGATGGGAACACCCCCAAGGTTAGGGGGGCCAGGAGCCGGGTATCCCAGGCTGGGATGTGACCCCAGCAGAGCATCTGGGTGGCTGGAGAAACTGGCTCCTGCTTTGCCTTCTCCCTGAAAAATGGTGTCAGGGTAAACCTTGGGGAGGTTAAAGCAGGGGGAAACTCTTTTCTGGGGAAAAGAAAGAGGTGCTCTAGGGCTAATCCAGGCAGGAGGAGTGGCTATTTGACACATAGCAGAAAAACGCTTCTACCTCCCATGGAGGTGTCCCCATCCCTGTCCCCGCTCCCTCGGGGACACCCAGCTCCAGGCTCTGCGCAGCCCCAGGCTCCCTCTGCTGATACGCAGAGTCACTACAGCCCTCCCGACAGAAGGGTTCAGTATGGCCCGGTGTAGCCAGCTACCACCTCCAAGGAAAAGGAAGACCCTTTTGTTTTTTTCAGTTCCCTAGACCCCATATAGACTTAAACAGGGCACCAGACTGCTGGGCACTTGGCCTTGACCCTCTCCATCTTCCCCTGCTTGCCAAGCCCCCATGCTGGGGAGGGGGGAAAAGCCCCATGGTGAGGAGATAGTTACTAGATCCCCGAGGTGTAGACAGGCTGCATGGCCTGGTAGATTTTCAGGAAGGGCCGACAACCTGGAAGACATCAAGGTGGGGAGAGAAGGCAGGCTGCTGTTAGCTGGCAGGGTGGAGGGGCCCGGCCAGGGATTAGTCACAGGGGAGAAATCCAAACAGGGAGGGAGCCAAGGCAAACAGCCACTCCCCAGCCCGGCTGACCCGCACCAGCCATGGGCAACATCTGGGATGGGCAGAAAGGGATGCTTCAGATAGGGGCCTTCCCCATTTCCCACCCTATACCCTGGTTTGAGTATTGTAGGACCGAGGGGAAGTGCTGGTACTCAGAAGAGGTCCCACACTCAAGAGACCATCATCCCACTTCCATTCTTAGGCCCAATCTGGTGCCATCCTCCCAAAAAACATTTTAAAAGCTTTTTGACCCCACAGCACAGGTTAGTGACGAGCATAGGCTGGGCACCCCCTGTGGGCACTTCAGTGGGAAAAAGGTAGCACCCTGCTAATAGGAGCAAACAGGCCCTAAGAGGGAATGGAAAATTAAAATTGCCAAGGAGATTGTAGAAAATAACCCCCATGGAGAGCCAGGCAGTGTGGGGTGATGGTATGTGCATGGGATCTGGGCTGGGGGGGGGGGGGGGGGGGGGGGGGGGGGCATGGGGACACCTACCGCCTTTGGACTCGAAGTTGGGGATGCCGTGCATGATGACATGATGGAGGAAGAGGGGCTTGTTGTTCATCTTGATGCTGCCAGAGAGGAGCCCGCTGAAATAATGGATGTACCTGGAGGATAGACAGGCAGCTCAGGACCCACAGCAGAGCACCCACCTTGGTCCCCCTGCGTCCAACCAGCCCAGCTATGGGAGCAAAACCCCAGCCCAGCTATGGGAGCAAAACCCAGCCTGCCTGCAAATGCACACCAGGACCCACCTCTTCTGGGATGGCTGTCCCACAGGCACTATCTTGTCCTCATAGAAGCGCTTCATGGCAAATCTGTCCAGAGCCTGGTTGGCGCTGTGGGAGAGAAAGAGCAGATGAGGTTGAAGGAGAACATCAGCACCAGCACCCAGCACCACAGGGATGGAGGCTGGTAGAGGGCCCCAGGGCCACCCTGGGACTGTGTATCCCTCTCACCTGGCTGAGATGTTGCTGTAGTGCATGTAGGCAGCCACCACCACTCCCAGCCGGCCACGGTTCCCCTGTGGGCACACAGCAGAAGGGGTGTCACAGGGGCAGCGGTGCCTGCAAGCACCCCTATACACATGCATCAGCCTGCACAAATACCCTAAACCTTACAGACACACACCAATGCACACAAATATGCTGACACCCGCCCACACCCCAAGCCACAGACCACCACATCCCCTGCATCCCTCAGCCTCTGAGGCTGTTCAACCCTGTCCCTGCAGCCTCTCATTACTGTGCATCCCAAGGACAGGGTCCAGCCCACCTTGTTGTGCAGCACCACCACGTTGTGTGGCACCGCATTGAGCCATGTGTCCATGGCTTTGCAAATGCTGCAGATTTTCTCCAGCGCTGGGGTGTGCAGGTCAGGCCACCCAAAATCCAGCACCTGGGCAAGGGAACAGACAGGGGTCACATCCACACCGGACTCTGGTCCCCTCCATAGCTCCAAGCCTGACTGTGTACAAAGCCCAGAAGCCCAGAGCAGATACCCAGGATGGGCACCACAGCGCTGTCCTGATGTACCCCTCCCAGCCTCTCCCCCAACCCTACACCCCCCTGCCCAAAGCCCTGCCCTGGGGGGCCCAGCGGTGTCCCAGATCTCAGCTCACCCCCCCCATCCTGGGTCACTCAGCTCCTCCATGGTGACAGGGATAGGGATGCCTTAGAGAGAACTTCAAGAGGCCCCAACAGCCAGGTTTGGGCTGAGCATGGGGTCGGCTAAGTTGAGATCCCAGAAACTCATTGGGAAGGCCCACTGCTTTCCTCTGAGCTTCCCCTCTCTGCTCCTCCAGTAGCTGGGTGGGATAGAAAGGGTGGTTGTTCCCCAGACAGCATGCAGCAGGGTGCTGGTCCCACACACGGCCCTGCTCTGAGCAACTCTGCTTCCCACAGCTCTGACCCACCTTGGGGTGAAGTTTGCTGACATCATTTCTTCGCTCAGAGAGGTTGAAGAGCTTTGGGGAAGAAGAAAGAGTGAGGGGACACACTTCCTCTCTCACTGCCACCTCGCTCCTCTTCCTTACCCCAGCGCCTCCCCAAATCCACCCATGAAAGGCTTCCCCAGACATATTAACCCAAGTAATGCCTCACCACAGGACAACTCAATGGCCAAAAACCCACATGGGGGCCAAAAGGGACTGGAAAGCTTCAAGGAAGGGAAAAAAAAAACCATGTGCCTTAGTGCAAAGATCCCCCTCACCACTGTCAAGCTCAGGTGGAGACAAGGATGCAGCACCCATATCCTGCAGCCCCTTATCCCCAGGACCTGAGCACCCCAGCCCTTTCCCCAGCCTGGCAGGGTTCCAGCCATGCCCCTCACCACATAGTTGTCCCCGTGCTTGGACTTCAGCATGTGGGCCACCTCACGGAGGTTGCTGCAGAAGTTCTGCTCCTCGGCCGTGCTGGGGAAGGAGACGGCGATGATCCGCTCCGTGATGTACACCAGGTCCAGCTCACAGCTGCTCTCCATGGCCGCTGTCAGGCTCATGCTCCTGGGTAGGGGAGGGGGCTGCTGTCAGGACATGGCATAGGGAGGGGACACACTGATCCTTCCCCACCCTGCACCACCCCGGGGGTTAGGCAAGACAGGCTGGGACACGTGGGAATGCAGCGGCAGGTCTGCCCACAGCCTTTCCCCCACTCTCGGCCCCCTTAGGGTGTCCCAGGGACCCAAAGTTGGTGATGGCAGGTCATAACCCCTGTGTCTTCTCCAAAGAGAGCATCTCCATCTGTAGCACATTTGGAGAAGCAAAGTGTTGGTGGGGGAAGGAGAGGAGGTTCAGGTCACAAGAAGGGGAAACTGAGGCACCTACCTGGATGCTTTGCGGCGTGACTGCCCACTCCTGGGGGATTTCGTGGCATCCTAAAATCCAGAGAGGTAAGTTGATCCACTACCCTGACCCAACCAGCAGCCAGCACAGGGGTCCAGCTAGAGCCGGGTGTGATGATGCTGCTGGAGCATCCCACTCCAGTGACATTGCACTGCACACTGTAATACCCCTAAAACATCGCTGCCTCCAAACACTACTCACTAAGCATCCCAGTGGCACCGAACACCTTGACAGTGACATCATGCTCCCACCGTGGCCATGAGCAAAACCCAGCTCTCACAACCCCAGCGCAGCTGGGACCAGCCACCACAGGCACTGCAGGGCGAGTGCCTTGCTACAGCGTCCCAGAAGACCTTTGAAAAGGATGCTGGGGGCAAGGGGGACAATCTCAGGCATGTCACAAGTCACTCCAGTCTCGCCAGGCTCCAAGCACACACCTGGAAGGACGGAGCAGCTCTGGCCCTGCCCAGAGCAGTGGCAGGTCCCGCTGCCCAAGCGGTGGCGAGGAGCCAGCCAGTTTTGACCATGGTTTGCTTTGGCCTCGGCTCTGCAGAGCCAAGCGCCAGGAGGAAACGTTTGAGCTCTCAGAGCAGGAAACTTCTATTTATGCATGTTCTCTGGCCTCAAGAACTTCATCTGTAGCCGGTTTGCTCAGTGACTTCGTGACCTCAGCCGAAAAACAAAGCAGGGCTTCCAAAAGAAACCGCTAAGGAAAAACACACTCACACCTCATTAGTTTTAGTATCTCCAGCTAATAAGCAGGAGTCATTTAAAGACTCATCTCTGCAGGCAGCACATTCCGAGTCCCTGAAGGATCCAGAAACAAGAGGTGCACCCTGCAGCCACTTCCCGATATGTCACTTTTGCTCTGGAGCTGCAGGACCTGCTGGTAACCTCCTCAGGGCTGCAGCATTCGGCAACCAGCATGCTGGAAGCAATGGGATGAGGTGGGAGAGGCTTCCCCATCAGCCTTCACCCACCAGAACAGTCCCAGAGGTGTTCCCATGGGCAGCTCCGTCACCCTCCATCAGCCTCACGTCCCCCATCAAGGTCAGGCTGCCCAGTGGAGCGGAGCTGTACTCAGGCTCTGCTGGGGACAACCACCTCCCCTCTCAGCCGAAGCCGCTGCAGGAGGCAGCAGCCCTGCCCAAGTGCCCGGGGGGGCTAAGGCAGCAGTGGCAACAACCCCCAGGTTCTCCTCAGGGTGCCCCAAACCTGCTCATCCCAGAACCCACACCCACCCCCACCTCCACACTCCTGGAGTTAAAAACAGCGAAAAGAAAGAACATATCGCATAAAAAAAAAAAAAAAAAAAAAAAGCAGGTCAAAAAGGAGTTAAAACACAGCAAAGAGAGGTAAATTTTTTCTAGGCAGATCAGGGTGCACGGAGCAAGCTTGAAGCCAAGCATGGGCTCATCCCTGTGTCACCCACTGGTGACCAGGATGGGACCCCCACCGGGGGCTCTGCTCTGCCCCAAACCCTCACAGCAAGAGACATCTGGGGTCCCCCACCTGCGCTTGCCAGGGGAGCCCCATCAGCCCCTGTCACCCCACCCAGCTGCAGCACCCTCCCAGCTGCAGCCTTGCCTTATGGAAGAGCTGACACAGGGCAGCTGGGACTCACCCCCTCTCCTGCATGGGAAAACTGAGGCACGGAAGGGTAAGCAAGGCAGGAGCCCCCCTCCCTCTCCATACCTTAATGGCAGTGAGACCCTTGCTAATCCATTTCCATGGCATGGTGGCTCTGCTCCTGGCACCCTCACAGCCCGCGGGAGCGGGTGCCTGTGGCCAGGGCCCTCCAGCGCACCCTGTCCTGGCAGGAGGCCCCCAGACTCTGCCCCGCTCCCCTCAGTCTAATGGCAGCCGCCTCTGCCGCCAGCCGCTGCCCAAGGAGAGTGAGTCCGCTATCAGCTGATAGGAGCCAGCACCCGCGTTGTTGAACACTCCTGCCTGCCACCGGGCTGGGACATCATGGAAAGGTCTCCTCTGGAGTGAGACACCAGCCAAGCCAGTATGTCCCAGTACAGCCCAGCACACAACAGGCTGGTCTCAGCCACACTGGGTTGAAGACCCCACTGCCAGCCCCATCAAACATCTGCCGCCCAGCCCCAGGCTGGCTCAGCATGTCCCCAGGCTCTGTGCAGCACCCAAAACCCACAGGTGCCTTCTGTGATGAGAGGCACGAGAAAGGCTGCAGAAATAGCAGGAAGCTTCCCCAAAAGAGTGCGAAGCCAGCAGAGGGGAATCCTGACTGTCCCACTAGGTTATTCTAGCTGTGGATATTCTTTCTCCAGTTCAGAGAGGTGCTGGAAGCATATCATGGACAAACAAACAGATGGCGCAAAGCTGGCTCCCAGGTGAGGAATGCTTTCACTCGATTCTTCATGGGAACTGCTCTGCCTCCATCTCTCAGGTCCCAGCCCCAGCACGCAGGGAGGCCAGCAAGCTGGCTGCAGGCAGGGGGAAGCTGCCCACGTTGACTTTGGCACTGTGTTTGTCTACACTGTCTTAGCAATTTCATGTCCACAGATTAAGTAACATATCCCCAGCTCCAAGACAGGAAAGCCGGCTTTGCAGCAAAAGCCCCAGGCCCCCCTTTGCTGGGCTCTGCCACCGACCCTGGGCACCTTGCTAGGCCTTTGGCATGGCCATCGCCACTGTGGCTGGCAGCGAGAGAGGGCTGGGGCATCCCAGGGATGCTAGGGGACTATGGGGGCATCCCAGGTTGAGGGGTTTTGGCTGCGGTGGGTGCTTGTGTCAATGGGACAGGCACAAAGGAACTCCCCAGGAGGTCTCAAGACAGTCCAGTGTCCATGGCTGGCAGCACTTACCAGGGTGTCTACCTGCTTCCTGATGCTCTCTCCCACAGATGGCTGCAGGCAGGCAGGAGAAGGGGAGGGGGAGAAAAAGGCAAGCGAGAGAGAAGGAGAGAGATTGAGAGACATGCACACACAGAGCATGGGGCAGGGTCAAAAGTTCCTCCTGAGCTATTTCTGGCCCTTCCTAGGAAATGCATCGCAGTCCCATTTCCTTCCCTGCCTTCCAACATGCCCGCTCTTCCTAAAGATCGTGAATCCCTCGAAACCCAGGCGTGGAGATGGAGCAATGCTCAGGTACAAGGACGCTGAAATCCTGCCTCCTGGCAGCTGTCCCCCATGCTGGACTGCTGCTGCAGATGGATAACACTCAACCAAACCCTGTGCTCACTCCATGACAGGCACCTGATGACCCCCACACCTCCGGGTTCCCATCTGGATCCCCCATGGTCAGACCCCGCAGCCAGGAGGTAAACAACAGGTGAGCCTGGCACGGCCCCACACCCAGCCTGGCCCCTAGCCACCAGCAGGCCCAGCTCCCCAAGATAAACCTCACCCCACAGGACTGAAGAACTCCAGCAGGAGCGGAGCAGGGACCTGAGATGGTCAAAAAGGGGCAAATCTGGTGACACACTACCACAGAGAGCTTTGAAATGGGGCTGGAGACAGGAATTAACTTCTCAGGGTTAGGGAAGAGTGTCCAGACCCCAAATATAGAGAGCAGGGGACAGATACTTCTGCCTGGGGACAGCTGGCTGGGGCTCCTGAGGGTGGTGCAGCAAAGGGACCTTATTGGGTGGCTTATAGGGGTCCTGGGACCAGGGGGATGGAGGAAAGCCCTGAGACCAGGCTGCTCTGGTCCTGGCAGCGGGGCCAGGGATACCATTTCCAGCCATGGGACAAGGCAAACCCCTTTTAATTTCCTCCCAAAGCCACAATTAACGGTCCCAGCTCAGAGCCAACATGTTTTTGCTGGTGATAAGTGCCCGAGGAGGCTGGCAGGGGCGGGGGGTGCAGGCAGAGATTAAACTCAGGACAGATAACCACTGCGGGGCTGGGGGGGGGAAGCATCACGCTCTGCTCCCACCCTATCCCCTTGCTCACTTGGACTGATGCACTGCTCCCATGAGCTCTCGGGAAGGAGTCCCCAAAACCCACTTTTCAGGTGAGACCCCTGCCAGCTATGGGGTGCCCAGCCCAGGGCTCCGCAGGGGCCACGGCCACCCCAGCACTGGTAAGCTGCCAATCCCAGAGCCAAAACCCTGCCAGGGCCTCCTCTCCCCGGCACCTGCCCCAGCAAGCCTTGGCACACGTCCGAAGCGAGAAGGAAGGGCGGCCACGCGGGCCCCGGGCAACACCAGCCTCCCTGCTGCCACGTGCCCGCTCTGCCAGCCGCCACAGCACGGGCAAGATGGGGATGGGAGGGCTGCTCAGCCTTCCCAAACCTCTGCCCCAGGGTGGTCCTGCTCCCACTGCCATCCCAGTGCCCTGCCCAGAGAAGGATGCATGGCAAAGCATGGCAAAGGAGCACAGCCCTGCCTGCCCAACACCCCATTGCCTGTCCTCCCAGGATCGGATGAATGGAGATTGGGCACACAGCTGTTTTCCCAGTGCCCATAGAGGACAGGGTGGGAAGTGCTGTTCGTCACCCTGGCTCTGGCTGCTCTGTAAAGGTCCCCAGGAGGGATAAAATAAGAGGGTGACAATAACAAGGGCTGCAAACGTGCAACCTTGGGCGCCCTGATTCAAAGGGACATCTGGTAGAGCCATCTCTGTGTGTGCAAGGAACAGCCCCAGCTCAGGCCAGGGAGAGGAGGCCCTCAGTGATCAGGGAGCCCCTCTTCCCTGAGGTACGACTCAGCTCCAGAAGTCCTGTGATGGCTGGGCTGCCCCAACTGATGCTGCTCAGATGTGGGATGCCCTGAAGCCAGCAAAGCTGGTAGGAACGGCACCAAACAGGGGGGTGCCATTACCCCCAGCACAGGACCCCTGTGGTTTTGGGGCAGGAGACTCACACCCTGAAGCCCCTAGGCAGAGGAAGCCCCACCCCCAGTGCAGAATAGAGAGCCTTGTCTCACCCTGCATCCTCAGAACCCTACCTGCCACCCACAGCTCATGGCGGAGGGGTCACTTACCAGCTCATAGTTGATAGCAGAGGAGCAGGGGGTCACAGCCTGCAAGCAAACAGAAGAGGGCCAGGGTTAGTCCCTGCAACCAGCACGGGGTGTGGGAAGGGACCAGGCTGCAGCATCCCCCCATTCCCTGAGAAAACTCAGTGCATGCCTGCCCAAGGGGGGTGACAGCGGCGCCAGTGGCCCACGGCAGGAGCACAGGCAGCATCCCCAGGTCAAGGCTGGGCTCCCTGGCAATAGGAGTGGGCTCGGGTCCGTGGGAGTGGCAGCCCCAGCCCCGGGTGGGCACGGCACGGCACAGCATGGCTGCCTGATGCCAAGAGCAGTTCCTGGAACAAACCCCAGCCCAGCCTCGTGAGTGCTTCTGCAGCCGCCAGCTGAACAGCCCGGCTATTGTTACCTTAATTACCAGCGGCAATTACTGACAATTAACCTTGGGTTTTGCGTGCACCCCGGCCGGCCGGGAAGCTGCGGCACGCCAGGGTGGGAGCGGCAGCGCCAGCGCCAGCGCCAGCGCCTTGCCTATCGGTACCGGGGGCAGCGGGAACAGCCGCTCCAGCACGGCGCTGGTCCGGGGATGCCGGCGGTAGTAGCAGGGTGTGACTGGGGACACTTCCTCCCCTCTGAGCATCTCCATGCGTTCCCCGTAGCAGTGACCCTCAGCCAGCCATCCCCTGCCCCATCCCAGGATGCAGCCAATCTGCCAAACACCACCATGGCAGCACGGGGACCCCCCACACCTCCTTCAGCCATAAAAAGCAGGATTTGCCCCAGGGACCCCAGTTAGAACACTCCGATCCCACCCCATCCCAACCCCCACTGGGTGATGCCTAGTGCCTGCCCCATCCGCGGCCGCCAGCCTGTTCCCATCCCGCCTCCCTGTTTTCGTCAGGGATTGTTGTTCCTCCTCCTGCCGCTCCCTTCCCCTGCACATTATTATTATGATTTTATTCTAATGCAGAAACGCTTCCATAAAAGGCCCCTTTCCCTGCCCCGCGGCGCTGGCCCCACGCCAGCCTCCCTGGAATGTTCTCCGGCAGTGAGCCGCTGCGGACGGGGCCGGAGAGGACTGTGCTGTATCCCGTATCCCATATCATGTCCTGTGTACCGCGTGGTCTTTCCCCGGGGATGCACAACCAAGGGCCCCCGGCCGCCACTCAGGCCCAACTCTGGTTGATCTGGTGACGGAGGGAGACACGCTGGTCCCAGTAGGGTCCATGCCCATCCCTCCTACGCTGTTGGCATCAGGAGGTTTGCAGGCTACAAATGCTCCTTTGGGTGGAGAAGGGAGAAAACTGGGGTGCACATGGTTGTATTTCCCTGCCCTAAGGGGATCCTCAGATGTCTAACATGGGCTTGTACTCACCCTACACTGCTCCTCCCAACCATAGGAGACACCAATCCAGCTCTATGTCATTGCTCTCATCCCAGAAAGGCAGCTTAACAAGGACTGCAGGAATGTAATGCTGTTTTCAGCTTCCGTCCCTCTCTCATGTTTGGCTCAAACATGCCCCACTTTCAAGGAGAAGAGGGAAAACCCAGCCCCATGCAACAGACCCCTTCCTGGGGAACCCAAGCTCCTGAGCCAGAGGTGCAGGAGCATCCCTCCTGCTTCACAGGACTTGTAAGAGCACCACCGCACACAGGATCGGAGTGAGCTGCAGGACCACTGCCACCTCCATCCCCAGGCACCCCGGTGCCCCGCAGGGCAGTGAGGGGCAGGAAAGGCTGAGAGACCTGCACACCCCTGGCACAGGCTTCGCCTTGCCATGGCAGACACAGCGGCCTTTCTTCTCCCCCCACCGGTGTTTGCATTCCTGCCTCCTGGCCCCCGCTGCCGCGACCCCGCCACCCAGCAGCCCTGCCCAGGAATGTGAGGAACGAGGCGCAGCACAGCTGCCGCCCACCCCACGGCCCCCCACGGCCCCCCAGGTCGCAGCCCCATCCCTTGCAGCAGCCACATCCCACCAGCCGCTGCCTTGAGACCTGCGTTTTGCCAAGCGGCAGAATCAGTTTCCCAGTGAAAGAGGCCCCAAAGCCTCTAGTGGTGGGGATTCTCTGATGTCTCATAGAGGGTTGGGAACACCCTACAGCCTTCCCCTGGAGGGAAGCAACAGGCTCACTGCATTCATAACCAGCTGTCACTGTATACCATACCTAGAAAAACTCAGTGCCCTCAAGATGTCCAAACCCAGAAGCAAACACCAGGCTAGCTGATACCTGACAGCTCCTGGACACATGGCCCCAGGGCAGAGCAGCCCACGGGAGCCCTCCTTCATCAAACTATCTGCTGCAGCTCAGGGACCCACCTCTGCACCCCAGATCCCTGCCGGGCCTTCAGCACCAGCTCACAAGCACTGAGTGAAGCTGGAGGAATACAGACATCCACCACGTACCTGGCTATGAGACACCCCAGAGCCTTCTCCATGCTGCAACCAACGCTTGCATCTCCCTCCAAAATCCTTCCTCTCCCTCCTCCTCCTCCCTTAGCAAAACAACCCCTGCAGCCGTGGAGGAGCCCAGGGGCATTGTCAGGTCCTGCTCCAGCCAGAGCCTCCCCATGGGTTATAGGCCCAGCTCACACAACGCCAGCAGGGCTGGTGGGAGACAAACCTTCACGGAGGGCCCCTGTGCTTCGGGAGCAGGCTGGGTCAGTGGAGCACTGGGCACAGGATGGGCTGGGGGAGCACACTGGTCCCCCTAGCCCAGCTGCCTGAGCCGGTCACAAGCTGGCCCAGAGCCCACAGCCTGGCCCGCCCTGGTGGCGGTGTGCGATGCAGGCCCATCTCTGACGCATATCCCTTCCTTTGGGTGGCGGTTTTTGTTTTTCCCTTCCCCAGGAGCTCCAATAAACATTCCCGAGCTGTTTGATATCCTGGCCAGTGCTGACCCTTGTGATGCCGGGAGCAGAGACAGCAACACCCACCCCAGCCCTCGAGCAGACCCCAGCATGCCACAGCCGCTTCCCATGGCCAGGCATTAAGACACCAGCAAGCCAGCCTGGATGGTGTGGTTGGGGCAGGAGACTTGCTTTCAAAAGGGGTTTCCCTTGACATCCTGGTCTACTCCACAGCTAGCCAGCATCAGGCAGGCACAGCCCTCCTGGCCCCACTGTGCAGAAGTGATCTGGACCCCAAAAGAGGGAGAAAAGGCATCTTACTCCCTCCACCCCCCAGGAAGGGCATCCCCTGTCCAAACCACCCTGTGGGATGGAAACACTTTTGCCAAAGAGGATAGTGACTCAGTGGCCAAACTGGCATCCCATGGGACCACACTAGAGTAGCAGCAATGCCAGCTCAGCACACGTCACCCCATGGTGGACTGCTTCCCTAGGAAGGCCACCTAAGCTCTGCGCCACCTACAACCCAGCTGGGCTGTGCATGTCCTCCCCATGCATCCCAGGGCTCTCTGCTCACCCTCAGACCCTGCCTCAAGCAAGGTTGGGGTGGGGCGCCCAGGGCCACCCCCAGGGCCACAGCAACCCCTCAGCCAGCCCAGAGCCCTTCCCTGCTCACCAGTCCCACAGCAGCCCCCAAGCACTGCCAAACCCCCTCTTAGCCATAGTGTGGGGCAGAGCAGGACGCTTGCTCTGACACCTCATGCAGAAGGCATTTCAAGGGGATGGGCTGAAGCCACCAAGTTGAGGTGTCAGGGAAGGTTTTCTCCTCTCCAGCACCCCTGTTTCCCCATTCCTGCTGGGATCAGCTACAGCATCCTTCCCCCTGCCAGCCGTAAGGATCTATAGGGTCTAGGCTCAGAGTGCCCCTGCAGCCACCCACTGCCTTGCCTGGGGGTGAGGTCCCCCGGCCCACACCACGTGCTGCCTGCTCCTGCCCTCACATTTCTTGGAGCTCTGGCAAATCTCCTGTTTATGCAACAAGTCCCCAGCGGGAGGACGGCATGTTTCCATCCGCACCCGCTCCCCCCTCGCCTCAGCTCCACCCTGCCAAGCACAGCCCGGCACATGAGGCACAGGGTGGTCATATGGAGCCTTAGCTCCCTGATACAAGGGTCCCGGGGAGGAGGCAACACCCCAGCACCACACAACCCCTCTCTGCCCCCACCAGCACTCAGGGCTCTGCTGCTTTGGGGGGTTCCCCCCTTCGGGAGGGGGGGACAGCTGTGCCGAAAGGCAGGGGAGCGGCTTGGCCAGAGGCTCCGGGTGAGTCAGGCTGCGCTGATGCCGGGGCATGGAGGTCTCACTGCTCCCAGGCTTCCCTCCGAGCATCCCTGTCCTGCCCCACAGCTGGACCAGGACTGTCACCATGCTATCCCCACTATGCTAGGATGCCTGGCAGTGCCCTTGCCAGGGCACAGGCCACAGAGCTGCCCTGCCCCTGCATCGCCCAGGAGATGCTGGTGGTACCCAGGGAGGTTACCGCAGAGCAAAGAACCAACACCGTGCTGGAGATATCCCCCAAGCTGGGATGGACTCTATCCCCTCTGTGTCCTCTCTCTGGTATGTCCTCAGGGAGCCACCTCATGGCCCATCCCCGCCAGGAAGGCGGCAGCAGGGCCACGAGAGAGGTCACCCAGTGCACCCAGCCCTGCAGATTGGAATTGAGATACCTGTGGGGACACGAGCTCTTCCACCCTGCATTGGCCCTAGGGCCACCACTGGCACCCCAATGCACCCACAGCATGTCCAGGAGAGCAATGACCCTCCCTGCAGCCTGCAGCCAGCCAGGTCTGCAGGCCTGGCATGGGGAGAACAGGACAGGGAAGACAATGCACAGGGAAGCTCTGAGGGGTTGTGATGGAGGCAACACCACCAAAATAGCCCTGGTCTGAACCCAAATAAGGGCAGGTCCCGGCTCCAGGCTGGTTTGAGCAATCGGCCCCAGGGCTGCCAAGTGCCAGCTAGGGGAAGGAGGAGAAAGTAGCACCCCAAGGCCTGTTTTGTGGGGATGAAGAAGGTTTTGGGGGTCAGCAGGGGGACAGAAGTGCCTCCACATGCCCAGGACAGGGCCTGACCCTGCTCTGCCAGCAGGCACTGCCTCAGCATAGGGCTGGCCACAGGCAGGGATGTCCTGAGCTCCAGTGCCTAAAAAGGCAACATCTGCAAGCAGCAGGTCTGGATCCGGCCCTTTGGGCCAGCACATGCCCGCCTGACAACAGCCCCACAGCCCCAGCCATGCTCTGCTGCCAGCACCCACCCATGGGTGCTGCTACCCTGCTGCGGGGACACCCCACTGCAGGGACAGCCCTCACCTTCATCCAGCCAGCCTGCCCCAAGGCAGAGTGTGGGATCACTATCCCCCTGCACCAAGCCTGCCCTAAGAGAGAGCATGGGGGTGCTTTGTGTCCCCTATCAACACCTCCCTTCCAGATACCAAGCCAGCCACCAGGATTGGCCAGGGAGCAGTTCCCACACTACGGATTGGCCAAGGAGTTACACTGGGATTAGCTGAGACACTGCGCTGCAGGGGGCTTCACCAGGATTGGGCCATACACAGGTTCTTACATGGGATTGGTCCATGCATGGATTCTTAAATGGGATTGGGCAGCAACTGGATTCTCACCTGAGATTGGTCAGTGCATGGATTCTCATGCAGGATTGGCTAGCACATGGATTCTTGGATAGGATTAGTCAACACATATTCTCACAGAACTGGTCAATATGTGGGTTCTGAGACAGGATTGGTCAGAGCAATGATCCCTGCGCAAGGCTGGTCAGTGCATGGATTCTCACATGGGACTGGTAAACAAATGGATCCTGACGAGAATTGGCTGGGGTATAGGTACTTACATGAAACTGGCCAGCACACTGGCCTCTAAGCAGATGGCCTGACTGCTTGTGCCCTATGCTGAGCACAGTGGGGGGCCCTGCCCTACAGATTCCCTCTGCGATGCTGGTGGAGCACCAGCAAGCCCAATTCCTAGGCATAAAGACCATACTGAAGGCTCTGGGCTGCCCCATGGCACGATGGGCACCTGCCAGTACCTGTGGGGCTGCGACCCACCTCTAATGGTGGTCATGGTGCCAAAATAAGCCCTGATTGCCCCAGGTGCTCTGTGCCTCCCAGCACCAAGCCCCTGGGCTTCCCTCATGGGGCAAAGCCCCAAGCAGATGGAGACCAAGGTCAGTGCTGTGTCTCCACCCCATGGGACAGAGCCAAATAGGCTGCAGTGAAACTGAACCAGGGAGCAGCACCCCCATAACTGGGGTCCCCCATCTATGGTGTCAGGAGGTAGAAGAAGACATGGAGCTGCTCCCACTCAGCCAGGGGCCAAACCAAGGGGCTGCCCTTCTCTCGGCACCCCAACACCCAGCATGGCAGCTCCAGTGCTGATCCAGGGCTGCCAGCACTATGACAGGATGCCTGACAGATGGGATACACAAGGCCAGGCACAGAACACCAGCAAAGCAAGCAGGAGTGTGGCCCAGGGCAGGCAGAGCTCTCTCATCCCCTAAGTAAGTCAGAGTGCAAATGGGCCCCTTGGCTCAAGACCTCAAAAAGGGAGGGAGAGGGGAGCACAGCCCCAAGCACAGCACGTACCCTGGAGGGGGACAGCAGCCCCGCAGAGCAACAGGAGCCCTGCCCTTCCTGGAACAGGGGCCAGCAGGATCTCTGACAGAGGCTTCATTAGAGATGGCGCAGCTTGGGCTCGTTTTCCCATGACCCACTTTCCCGAGGGGTGCCACCCCTAGGGATGGGTTCAGACTCTCGGCAGGACACACGCAGCCCTCCCAGTGCCACCACGCTGTAGTGGGTGCCTGCTCGTGCTCCCCCCCCAGCACTGGTCATGCAGCAGATGCCCCCCCAGCACCCTCCATGAGGACCAAGGGGGTTATGCAGTCACTGTCAACCCCCTGTCCCTGCCAGCTGCTCCACAACACCCCACGGGGTCAGCGGACCCGCTCCAGGAGCTGCTTCTGACCCCGAGTGGGACCAGGCTCCCCGGGAACGGAGCACTTCTCTGTTTTCCCTTGTTTTCCGCTTAAAACTAGGAGGGCTGATGCCTCGCTCAGCCGTTTCCTCTCCCAGGAGCACAGCCCAAAAACATCTGCGCCGCGACATGCCCGGCCGGATTTAACCCTCTGCGGGCCCGGCGGCGTCGAGGGGCCGGGGGTCCCTGCTCGGGACGGTAGGGGGTGCACCCGCCGGGGCTGCCGGGCTCCTCGCCACTCATTAACCCGGGTTTAACCATTGACGGTCCCTCGGCGGGTCCGGGCGGAGGGGTTAACCCATGGGCTGCCATGGGTGTCCCGGCCCCGGGCTGCCCCTCCCGTGTCGCCCACCGCGGGGTGACAGGCACCCGCCCGGCATCGGCCGGCCGGCCGCGGGGCGGGAGCGGGGAGCCGGGGGAGTTCCCCGCTTTCCCGCGCAGCCCTGGCTCCCCGGGGACAGGTCCTTGCGCACTCGGGAGGGGACGCGAACCCCAGCGCCGGTGTCCCCACCTGCGGGACACCCCGCGGCTCACCGGCTGAGAGGGGGGCACGGGGAGCACGCCCCCCCCCCCCCCCCCCCGCCCCGAGCTGCTCACAGCTCCCAACCGGCAGCAAACCGAGCCCCCTCCCCAGATCCTCCTTCCTGCGAGCACCGCATTGCCCGCTCCAAGCCCCCCCGCACGCCGAGACCCCCTCTGGGGAGCGACAACTGGGACCCCCCACCACGCGGGGGGCGCAGCACCCCCCAACACGCACCACCCCATCACCGCTTGGATGTCATGCGTATCCCCCGCCCCCTGAAGAGATGCCACCCCGCGCAGCACACACACGCCCCCGGGGGCGGTGGGGACCCCCCTGCTTTCGCTGCCCACCCGTACCTGGTTCATGACGCTCCCGAAATCCATCCGGGGTCTCGCCTGCCTACATCCGAAAGGGACGGCAGCGCTGCCTCACCTGGCCCGGGGGGCGCGGGGGGCGGCCGGGAGGGCCGCGGGGGGGGACAGGCGGGAGCCCGGCGTCGCCCGGGCGGGCGGGCAGGCGTGAAGGCAGACTGCAGGCAGAGCCCCCCTCCCTCCCCGGGCCAAGCCTGGAGAAGGAAGGAAGGAAGGACGGAGGGAGGAGGGAGGGGAGAGAAGGAGGGGGAGAGCCGAAAGGTTTCGCTCCCCTCAAGCAGGACCCCGGCGATGGTGGAGCCCAGGGGGTCCCGCCGGCCCCCCGCTGCCCTCCGCACCCTTGGAACAGCCGGGGACTGGGGAGTTCGGGGCGCCGGCCCCGGCTCTGGGGAGGAAGGGGGTCCCGGGCGGCTTTTTCCACCACTCCCCTTTCTCCTCTCGCTCCTTCTCTCTTTCTTCTCCTTTTCCCTCTCTTCCCAGCTGCACAGCGCGCTCCAAGTCCAGCCCCGCTCCGCTCCCCTCGCCTCCCCTAAAAACGCCCTTAAAGGCAACCAGGAGCCCTTATCGGGCAGCTGGCCCTGGGTGAGGGGTACCAGAAAGCAGGCAGACAGCCCCCCCCCCCAAAGGAAAAACAATACCCCCCAACACCCCCACTGCGTCCCCTTGCAGAGCGCCTCCCACTCCGTGCTCAGGGGCCACAGCGAGCGATGGGGCGCAGCGGGGTCGGGGCCTTATCGCCCCGTGTGACGCCACCAGTGTCCCAGTGCCCTTCACTGGAGGGTAGCAGGGACAGGGCTATGGGGCCCTTCTTGGGGCTTTTATCTGCCTGGCACCCCCTGGCACAACTTGGTCCCCCCTTCCACATGCAGGACGAGGTGCCGAATTAATGGTCCTTGGGTGCCCGGCACCCCCGACCTTGCAGGATGTTTTACCATCCCACCCCCCAAATAAAAAGCAAGGCCAAAATGCTGTAAAAGCCATGGCTGTCCCTCGGCACGGGGAGCCACATCAGTCCCCACCTGCCTGTCCCAAACCCAGGGTGTGCCCATCATCCTCCTTGCCTTCCTCCCATCTCCCTTCCTTCTCTGGGGCTCTGTGTGGCCGTGGCCAGAGCTCTGCTCTCCCCGGCCACCCCTGGAGCAGCCCAGCCCCGCCGCTGCTTCGCGGGGAAGTGCTCAGTGCTGGGAGACCCGGGAGCGAAGCGGGAAGCCCCCTGCAGTGCGGGGCAGGGGGGGCCACCGGCAGCGGCCCATGGAGCAGCAAGCCGGCCAGGGAGGCGGCGAGCCAGACACCCGGCCCAGCGCTGTTGACATTTTCTCGCCCAACGCCTCCCCGTTCCTGTTTGCGTTTCCGTCCTCGCAGTGTGGGCTCAGCCAAAGGGCTGGGGCTGGCTCTGTCCACACGGAGCAGCACCTCGGGGACCCCTCCTGCCTCACCAACCCCCAGGATTCACCGGGGAGGGGATAGGGGGGTGCTCTCCCTCTGCCCTCCTTCAAGACTCCTGTAAAGTGCAATCTCACTCCAGCCAATCCTGCCCAACCCCTCCATGCCTCCCCAAGCAGCCGGATAGTGCCATGGGACAGGAGCACCAAGAGGCACCAGTGGACCTTTCCTGCTGCCGAGGATGAGGCACCAGAGCCCTGACATCCCTGGGTGGCACCTCCTCATCCCCTCCCAACGAAGCACCTGCCACACTGTCCTCCCTGGCACCCAAGGGCATGGAGCTGAACCCCCCCAGCCAGCATCCACTAGCACCCTCAAACAAGCTCTGCCAGCAGCACAGCCCCCCAGAACCAGGCATCCCAAAAAGAGGGGAATACTGCAACTGGGATGAAGGGGAAATGAACATCCTACGCATGGGGAACTGGGCACAGATCCCAGCTCAGCTCTAGCACAGACCCCCATATGGACCCCCATAGCCCCAGTTCCTTGGGAGGCAGCTGCAGGCCAGCTCCCAGACCCTGGGAAACACCAGCAGCGGAAGAGCCAGGGCCAAATGGGAAAATAGCTGAGTGGGATGGAAATGAGTGGATGAGCAAAGGGCACTGACAGCAAGTCCCTGTCCCCAGGAAGGTGAGAGGAGCTGTCCCCTGGAGAGCTGACATGTCCCCTTCGCAGGACACAGCCAGAGTCCTGTCAACACCCCTGAACTCCAGCCACCTCCTGGAGCGATCAACTCAATGTACCAGTGAGAGCAGGTCCAGCAGTCAACCAAGTGACTCCAGTGGCCTCTGCACCCTGTGGGCTCCCTTAAGCACCCACTGAGAAACCACCCTCCACCTGAACCAGCTCCTCCACAACCCTAAACAAGCCCCTTTGAGCATCACTACTCCAGATGTCAGCAGCAGAAGGGGAACCTGGGGACCAGCTGCTGGGGGGGTCATCTCCAGAGGTGAAAGCACAGGAGGTGAAGCCCCAGTGCAGGGTCTGTAGAAGCCCTCTTGAGCCAGAGCTTTCACCTGGTTTGGGGTCAGTGCCACCCCTCGGTGGTCCCGGAAGACCCCCAGCACCCTTCCCAGCACAGGTCCCAGGAGGGGTGGCCACAATGGTCTGGGAAGGGAGCAAATTGGTGGGAAACAAGGCAGAAGCCTTCTGTGGGAGCCCCTGTTCAGAGCAGATCCCGCTTCCCACCACCGCAGAGCCCTGGAGGGCTGGATCTGGTCCTGGTTTCCCGCGAAGAGAGAGGGAGGCTGGTAGTCCCCACTGCCCCAGCTGACACATCCCAGGCCAGCCCTGGCCCCTGCTAACCCATGCAGAGGCTGGGCAGTCTCAGCAACCCTGCTCCCTGCCCACCCTCCCTGTGCGCAGCAGCACCCGGAGGGTGCAGAGGAGAGCCCCAGCTCCTCCGAGCAGCCAAGACGACACCTCCCCCGGCCCCCCCGCCCCGGAGCTCAGAGGCTGAATATTTGGGCAGTGACGTAAAGAAGGGGGAAAAGGAAAGGGGGGGGGGGGGGGGGGAAATCCCCACAGAACCCCCTCCAGGACACGCTGCACAAACATGACCTGGCACAGCACCATGGCAGCGCTGACCCCCGCAGCCCCCCCATCCTGCCACCCCGGCTGGGCCTGTGCCAGGACCAAGGATACATTCCTGCGGCATTCTTCCCCCCCGCGGCCTGCTCTGTGTGGAGACTAGGGGTGTTTCTAATTACCTGTCCCGAAGCACTGGGGGGTGGCTTCTGATGGAACATCGGGGACAGGGACAGGAAGCGGTGAGGCTGCAGAGGGTGCATAGAGAGCAGAGTGGCTGGGATAGTGAGCAGGGACAGGACATGGTCCCTAGCACAAGCTGGGTCATGAATGTCCCCTCCCTACAGCCCCTGTTCCTGGCACTGCCATGCCCCCCCACTTGGACTTGCCTCCGGCACTGCCCGGGCCTCTGGCCATGGCACAAGCTGGAGGGTACCCATCACCATGAGTCAAGCCTGCCCAGAAGGGTCCAACCACCCCCTGCCTCGGTTTCCCCTTCTGGCTCTGACTCGCTTTACTGGTGGGGGTTCCCCACTGAGGGCAGGAGACACACATCCCTTTCATCACCACCCTGTGCCCACCCACTGCAATCCCCTACCACCAAGGAAGGGCCCATTGGCTCTGCAGGCACTGCGCCTGGCTGCCCAGCCCTGGCCCCGCTCCAGCCCCTGGTTTAATGATGGACAAACAACCCCTCTGGAGTCCCATCGCAGGGGGGCACTTGAAAAACAAGCTGGGCCTGGCACAGGGCCAGTGGGGATGGATGGTTCGGACCTGGGAGCACACACATGTGACCACACAACCATGTGCAAGCACACTTGTGCACACACATGGATGTGCTTGCACGCACGTGCATACCCTGCAGGCTCACATACATGTGCGCATCTGCAAGCATACTTGATCTGCACACACGTGTACATGCACACATGCGTACATGCATGGTCGTGCAAACACATTCATGTTCAGGCACACGCATGCACTCTCACACACTTGCAGGAGCACACACATACTCACACACATAGCCCAGCATCCCAGTATGGCTCCAGTGCTACTGTCAGCTTCCCAGGAGAGACACTGGGGGACAAGGCAGCCCGCAGACGCCCCAGCCCCACTCTATGTGCTGTGCCTCAGTTTCCCCGTTGGCATACCCTGACATCCCTGCTTCCCCAGAAGCTATGGGCCCCAGTGTGGTATGGGGCAAGTGGGGCAGGCTGGAGCCCTGCCAGGCCCAGGGGCTGGCACAGCCGCCACTTCCCAGAACCACCCACCGGCAGTGGCCAGCCAGTTCGGCAGCCAAACACCGCAGCTCTCCCTGTCCCCAGCCAAACCAGCCATCAGCAGGCGAGCTCCTGCCACAGGGAGAAGCATCATCCCCAGTCTGTTCTCAGCTTCTCCAAGTAGCATCATGGCAAAATCCAGCCACAGTGAGTGAGTGAATCCCAGGGGATGGGGACACCCCCAGCACTTCCTTTGCTCCACAATTTGGAGCATCCTCGGGCTCCTCCCAACATCTTGGCTGGGAGGGCAGTGCCACCACATGCCCACACACAGGCTCACCCACACTTGACCACTGCCACAGAAAGCACTGCACCCAACACCACGTCCCCATCTCTGCCTGTCCCCAGACAAGGCCCCGTGACTCAGTTTCCCCACTTTTGAAAGGAAGCTGCACCCCTCCCCGTTTTGGGCAGGCAGTTTCAGTGCAGGGAGGGAAGAAGGGGGCAGGCTCAGCGGATCAGATACACACCAGTGTCCATCCATCCGTCCTCCTCAGAGGGTGGGAAGTTTGCTAAGCAAAGAAAAATCCCTGAGCAGAGGCACCGAGCATGAGAAGGGCCTTACATGGGCATGGGAACAGCGTCGTGCTTCCCAGCTGATGTGTATGCGGCTGCCCTGCCCCCCCCCCAGAGCCCGGCATCCTGCCAGCACCACTGCCACTGCAGGGCATGGGTCCCAGTGCTGGCCCTGCCACTGTTCCTTAAGCAGGGAGGACCTCGAGATGTGCAGATCACTGCCAGGGCACAGGTCCTGCCTCCCCTGTCACAGCTCTGCCCAGTGACTGCCTCCTTGGGGACACAGCATGCCCCAGCACCCCAAAACCTCCCTGGTGTCTCCACACACACCCCAGTGCTACCCCAGATATCCCCATCACACCCCAGATACCCCATGGCACCCCGCACCATCATCCCCTGTACAGCCCCTCACACCTCACCAGCCCCCCACACCTCGCCAGCCCCCATTACAGACACCCCTATCTCTCCCCTCTCCCCTCTCCCACCATACCCCATCCATATGGGATAAGTGGGGTCTTCCCCCCACCCAAGCCAGGAGCCAGCTTTGCTGGGGGACAGCCAGGAGGGACAGAACAAGGGGTCAGGGCAGGTCCCAATGGGGTAAAGATGGGGACCAAAAGGAAGATGCTGCCAACAGCATTGTAGGACAAGCTCCAGGGTCAGCAGCCACTAGACGGGGGAACACCAGGACCTCGGCAGCATGTTCACGGCAGAAAGAGGATGCCCTTTGGGGTGCAGCTGCCAGCAGTTTGGAGGTGAGCCCACCTTCCCGCTTCAAAGTATCCTGGGGGTGCAGGGGTTAAACGTGAGGGGCTCCAGGTATACAAGAGGCCATTTCTGCTCAGTGCCAAGCCCCCTCCCCAC